ATCTGCCAGCTCTAATACCGGGCTATCGTCCAACCTTATTGCTAACAGCAGCTCATGAAATAAAGCTGTTCAGATTTTGTAGTCATCATCATGGCTATTTTACCAGATACCACGACAAATCCCAAATAACATATGTCGTGGACTTCCATGGGAATGTCTGTATCTCCAGAGTATGTATAGGACTGTAACATCATCCAGATCATCAATGACTGTGATGCTTGGGAGACCATCGAAAAGTCTGCCAGATGGCCATACCAGCCGGCCGTCTCGGATAGCCCATGAAGTAGCGATCATAAAGTCATCTTCAGGCTGTAGTAAAGAAGAGAGCGATGGTGACATATCAGTCATTATGTCGGGCAGCGCCTTTTCAGTAGAGCGGTTGGTGAGAATAACCTGAAAAGAGTCTGGGACCCAATAGTCGAACACTTAAGCGATATGGGTTTGGCCGACTCTGGATACCCTACTGATTGCCTGTTCAATAATGGCCCTGGCAAGAGCCACGCTGAAAAGATGGACATTTCTGTAAGATTGCTGCAGATTCAATCCCATTAAATTCATCACATAGGACATGATGAGAATTTTTCTTATCTTGGTGCTCATTAAAGTTGTTCACGAGCTTATAATGCTTGCTGTGATCAAGATCGGAGTGCAGCACCATGCAATCAAAACCCGCGGCTTTCGGAGTTGTATATATGTAGTTATCCTCGCCTGGAAAGCAGGTACACACGAGTGCCATGTTACTTTGGAGAAGGACTTGGTCACGCAGTATTCCAATTATAAATCTCATCCTGGGTGAGCCTTTTAACATCCCGGCCAGTTGTTGAGTATCTTGCATAAGACTGGTCCTGGGTAGTTTCTTGAACTTCTAGTATAGTGATTTGACCTCGTCCTCACCAATAACCACTTCCTTGTCTCGAATTTTCTTCAGGAAAGTTGGGATCAGACGTCTCTATTAGTTGCAGCAGAGCCATTCGACAAGGCCGTAGTTATGTTGTCATTTAGCGTAGTGTCACTTCCTCGCTGATGACACTTTTGAATTGATATTAGGTGTGGAATCAAAGGACCTGAGATATGAAGTATGTGTTAGGCTGAACACATTGTCGGCGTTAGAAGGATGATGTGGTGGTCACCACCAACCACCAGCGAACCATTCGGCTAGCCGGTAGTTCGTCAAGAATGTACTAACATATCATTCCGTCCTTGCTGGTTATGCATATTTATGTGATGAGCGAAGACGGTTGATTTTGGATGATTCTCTTTCACTGGAATTTGGCGCTTTTGCCAGCTAGATGAAACTGGTGCATTTAGTCGTGGTATAGGAACCGCTGATCAACTCGCCAGCAAGCCCCCATTTCTTCGATATCGAGATCAGGCAGGGATTTATATGGTCTCTGTGAAATCCGCCAGTTTCTGATCAAGGCGCCAGTAACACTCTGCATTTGTAGAGGCAAATCTTTCATTGTTGTCGCTTGGTGCTTTGCCCCGTGGCGATAAGTATATCGTGGTGTGTGAATCATCAGCCACGCAGCCACGCAGCGAGGCGGCTAGATCATAGTGGGTTCGTCATGACCGTCCTTGATGTCTGCTGTGATTTATTTAAGGCAGGAATAAGAAAGTGAGTATTTCCTTTCGCATTTTGCGCTATTCGTTCGTTATTATGACCTTATCGTGGTCCGGAAACCAGCCAGCCAGCCAGTTCATGGCTATGTGGTTAACTCTGATATCGAGTCAGAAAGTATGATTGGCCTTGAGCCTCTGTCTGGGGCTATCTATTTATGTCGGATAAATCGATAGATTGAGGAAGATCGAGAACATGGTGCCGGATCTTCGTGCTTCATTATCACATTTCCTTATGTGTTCATGGGCGTGCGTGCCCTCAGCATTGCCAAAAGCAATCTCTAGGTTGTATTGATCTGCAGAGATCAATAAATTTAAGTTGTCGTCCCAATTCTCATTACTCAAGACCAATGCGGGCCATTATTCGACGATCTTCACTAGATGGTGGGCGTTTATCCAGCATACCTAACATAGTCTCCATGGTGTCAGTCAAAAATAGGCAGCCAGGGAGCATTCGAAACGTACTGGTTCGCATGTATTCTTGCCGCCGTTAGCGAAGTGACAGAGCACGGAAGCCTTATATTAATATAGTATCCAATTTCATATAGAGCACCTTCAGCAGTCTTAGTTGGCATGATATGTCGAAGATAGTGTATATAGAACTTGTAACGTGCTCGGATGGGAACATTGCGCTCAGGGCGGATGTTCTTCGTCTCGTGGCATGGAACTGAAAACCATCAGCCGAGGCAGTCGACCTTTCATTCAAGAAATCAGTGTCCAGGATGTGCTTGAGGAAGGTCGATTGAAGCAAGAAGGACCAGGGAATTTTGACTGTAGCCAGGAAAGTCCTCCTTGTTGCTGAGCCTTCGACATCTCAATCAGTACACTAAGTAGAGGGGAGCGCGCGAAACCCACTGGTGCGCATAGCTTATTATACTCGAAACAAAAGCTACATAGAAAGATGCACGCGCATCCATTTGGCACCCGATATCAAAAGGAACTCTTTGGGCAGGTCTGTAGTTGTTGATCGCGTGGCGAAGACAATGCATACGGGAGTTGAACTTCATGCTCACGGGCATGTATAGCTTTAGGCGGCGAGTCCCCTTCGCCATCGTGACGATCCACCATATGCTCACATGAACAGCCTTCTTGATGCTTTTCATGGGGTGCTCTCGAGTGTGGGCGGATTCGGCACTTTCAAAATGGTTGTATTACCCAAGGTCGGATGAAAAAAGAGGCGACCAGCATTTGATGTTGTGCTTTGCGCTTTTTGCTCGTTATTGCGGTCGAAGAAGAGGAAGACTCTATAACCCTATATAACAATGTCAAGTAACATCAGTTGTCTTGCATCGCTCATGTCTTCCCAACATCGCATCTCACTCACAAGGACAGTCGATGTTATTCCCGCCCAATACACGGCGTTGGAGTCCTTGTGGCGACTACAAGTCGCGGCCTGTGGTGTTTCTTTGCGATATCCCAGAACCTAATTGGTTTTGATGTTGTTGTGCCCCAGGTGACCAATGTGCCACGGCTTGGGAATATCTATCAGATTAGCTGTTGGCTGAGCCGGTAATCCCAGTAACTTGTAGCTTATGCCTCGTCCTCCGAGTCACAGAGGGACCCAGCCCCAGTAGTATCGTGGCTATCTCTCTCCACCCCGACCTACGGAGCAGAGACTTGGAGCTTGGTGTTTTCGACGCAAGCAACAAATGCGTGGTTTTGGGAACAAAGGTCCCCCGTCGTATTCAGAAAGCCACACTTGTGGCGCCGGGTAGCCCTGGCTCAGTCTTTCTGGAACCACTTCAGGATGCTACCCAAATGCCATCTGCCGTTGTTGTTTGTGTTTTGTTTCATCAGTCGCTGTGTGCTTGGTGTAATTAAGTTTGTGGACGTGTTCACTCGGTAACACGTCTTCTTCTGGCTTATTCACACGGTGCAGTCCGGGCCCAGGTTACAAACCCACGTAAAGTATGAATGGTAGACCGAGCACGCCTATACTCCCCATATCCCGGCTTCTACCTGGTACTCTCATTGTACTGTCTGTTGATGTGGCTCACAGGGGTTCATAACCAATGAACAGCCACCTCCACTCTATATTCCTCGTTTAGAAAGCCCTGAGCTGGGGAAAAAGGCTTCGAGTTCTTTTCAATAGAAACTTTCTCCAATGGAGACACTGCGCCAATGAGCTATCAAGTCTCATGTCTCGCTAGTTATATCAACTGATTGTTGGTCCATATGGTGAACCATACTGTAAGCGCTGCTCCAATGTGCCGCAGTCGCGTGGTGGCTCTTTGATCAAACGATGTCAGACCGGATAGAGAATATTAGCTGGAAAGACGGAAAAAACGAAGGATGTCATGTCTCAAGCTCTCACTATGCGGAGCGAGGATCCCGCACGCGGTACAGAATGGTACAGAGGACCGATTATAGAGATTTTGATGTCGGACTTCTGTGAGATACGGTCAGACAGGTTTCCAAAATCGGACAACCAACAGGCATACCGTAGCTGCGATGTACCCGACCATTAAGTCGGTCTACCCTCGTGGTACCTCGTAGGTCAATATCCTTGTCGTCAGGTACGAATATCTTTCTATCTTGGATTTCATGAAGATGCTATTGTGCCCCTGCGATTGAGGGTTAAGTTACGGAGTATCCCTGTATGTCAATTTTTAGCGGTAAGGGCTTATATATGAATCGTATTGTATAGCTTTGTGATAATGTAATAGAGATCCTTTTTAGATTATTTGGGGAAGTTGGAGAGGTAGGGTGGTTGAGGCCTTTATATAGACCGGATCTCTTGGAGACTTCACTGCAATCGCATCGTCACTGAGCCAAATTTACTCTTCATCGTAACTCTGCTTCGTTACATTCCCACGATGAGGCATCATTCACAATATGGCGAATCTATACAACTGGTGATAGTGCTTCAATGCGATTCATACAATTCCTCAGAAAACAGCATGGAATGTGAATGTCGTCAACCGGGGTTTCCTCTACATACATGGATCGAAAGACTTTTTATATGTAGACTCCGTATAATCCGTAATTTATCTATATTTATCGAGTAAGAGACTTGGGGTTTGATCAATATCGGGGCATGAGCTAGTACCTATGAACTCTCATTGTAGCCAAACGGGTAAGGCCGACGGAGAGAAATATATAATACTCAGACTGATATTAGCAGGCGACACCCTTAACGGGATCGATAATCTAAACCAGTAGCAATGTCAGAATAGCGTCTAGAATACTTAATAGAGTAAATAATTATATACAATAGGTACATAGAATCATGTTGAACTGGTTTAAGAAGGATGATTATGCAGTTGGAATCGATCTGTATAATGATGACTAAGCACTCGACCAGCAGATGGAATCCCCGCGGCGACTTCAGTCTTCCTGATTCGATGCTTTCAACGCTTCAGTATACTTAGTGGCACTCCATCATGGATGCGGCCGAAGATAGGGAGGTTAAGCTCCAGCGTGCCTCTGGAGACCTCGTCCAAGAGTTTTCCGAGAAGCTGCCATCTCTCCTTTGGAAGACCCGACCCGACCAGCCAAACACCCGCATTCCACGGAGATGGACCCCCGCCGCAAAAACAGAAAGACTCGTCGGCCTGGTAAGCAAGCTGCCCACGCCGTGCCTGATCCCAATGTCTAGTCTACGAATTTTCCTTTTAGTGACAGCTGACCACTTTGTAGTTAGAGCCGTTTCAGGAGTGGCCGCAGCTGTTGGACCCCCACCTGCAGGCCCTTCTACCCCCTTTAGTTGATGCCTTTCTGGCATATTTGCTGAAGCATCGCGATCAATACGCGTCCAAACCCGCAGGATTGCAAGGCCAGAAGACAGCGTATCCCCTTCCAAGAGCGATCTGCAGGCTGCTTTATACCTTTTGCAAAGTCCGTGGAGTCAAAGTTATCAGCAGGTTCTTGAACAATGAGCCCAAGTATCTTGATCCGCTGCTCCGCGCTTTCGTTGAATGGGATGCCATCAAAGATGAGCCTGAGCTAGGCCTTGGAGACATTCCCCTGCGACTGGTCTGGGAGGAACGATATGTGATGCTGATTTGGCTGTCGCATTTGTTACTTGCTCCCTTCGACCTGGCTTCGATGTCGTCGGATGATATCCCGGTTCCGTATGACAACCTTGGGACTTTGAAACAGATGCCAAACCACACACCGGTGGTTGCAAAGTCTCTACTTTCTGTGGCCTTGAATTATGTTAACGTCTCAGGTAAAGAGCGGGAAGCCGCTACAATTGTTTTGGCACGACTGGTGCTTCGGCGTGATATGCAGGCGCTTGGGCTTTTGACTAATCTGACGGACTGGGCGTTTTCGGTTGTTCAGCCTGCAGGTAATCTTGAACCTCCTTCAGTCTACACGTGTATTGGCGTGTTGTCTTTCATCGCTCGCCTGGGTGCGTCGGGCCAGGTGGAGGACTTTGCTCCCCTGGTTTCTCCCGTCTTTGGACAGACGCTGCAAATCCTGCAAGGAAACTCGGCGGTCTCGGATGTTATTAAGTCTTCTGCACTGGCACGGAAGACTATCATCAAAATCTTGCGTACGGTAACAGTCATGGCCTTGTCGCTCAGTGAGAGGGGAGACAGTACAATCTCGGACGATCAGGTTTCTACGATTTTGGAAGATGCAATTGATCACTTCCTTGTCGCTCTTGCTGATAAGGATACCCCTGTGCGCTTCGCAGCGAGTAAAGCCCTAAGTATTATTACATTGAAGCTGGATCCCGATATGGCCGCGGAGGTCATCGAGGCTGTTACCGGCTCTCTGGAAGAGAACATTCTGTATGAGAAGCGGGACGGCACCATCGTGACACCGCTGGAGGCTCGGAGGATAGGGATCAACACGTTGAAACGGAATTTGAGCGCAGTGGACGCTCAGAGGTGGCAGGGGCTGATCTTGACGCTCGGCCATCTCTTGTTTCGCCGTGCGCCTCCTACCCATCAACTTGGCGATGTACTTCAGCCACTTGTTTCGGGCCTTGACTTCGAACAACGGTCATCAACCGGAAGCTCTGTCGGAACAGGTGTACGTGACGCCTCGTGTTTCGGAATTTGGGCGCTGTCTCGCAAGTATACCACCCAGGAACTGCTTGCCTTGAAACCGCAGACAATCAGCACAGCCACGGCTCAAGGTAAACAAGAAAGCACATTGCAGATGCTGGCGATCGAACTTGTGTGTGCCGCGTGCGTTGACCCGTCTGGGAATATTCGGAGGGGTGCTTCTGCAGCACTGCAAGAGCTCATCGGGCGTCACCCCAACACAATTGCCGAAGGTATACCGCTTGTGCAAGTTGTGGACTACCATGCGGTGGCTCGGCGCTCGCGGGCAATGATCGATGTTGCCAACGCGACCGCTGCTCTCAGCCTCCATTACTGGAGCCCCCTTGTCGAATCATTGATGCACTGGCGAGGTATTGGCTCGCCTGATGCAGAGTCTCGCAGGCATGCAGCCAAAGCAATCGGAGTTTTGAGTACGCAGCAGTCATACAAAACAATGCAACAGGTGTTCCAGCGGCTGCTCAATAGGCTATCTAGTATTCCACACAGTGACGTGGAGACTAGACATGGCTGTCTTTTGGCCATCGCGGCTACGGTTGACGCATTCAACGCCCACCGTGAGAGGGATCCCATAGATGCATCGGACGCAACGAGTGTCTCGCATTATGTGGCCAAGGCGTGGGAGATATTTGGCTCTTCGCTCGGACCAACCAAAGATGACCTCACCCTTCAGACTTTCCGGCCTGAGCTGACAGCGGAGGCCTCTTCTCAGTTGATATGTTCTCTTGCTCAATCAGTTACCCTGGCCCGTGAACCACGAATCTCTCAACCCTCAGTGGATTTACTAACCAAGGCTCAAGAAACGCTCTTGCTATGCATATCACGGAGCGAGGACACTTCTATTGAGAGCTCATCAAATGCAGTATCCGAACTCCTACCTCTTTTACCACCTGACGAACAAGAGAAGATGATTCAGGGGTGGTTTTCCCACATTCATACTACCTGGAACCTGCCAACGGGCCGCGGCCAGATCACGGCCCTGGGCACAGTGTTCAAACAAATTGACAAGAACAGTCCTCTCAGAAGATCTATCATAGACAGCATCATAGAATGTGCAGAGAAAGAAGAACTAATCGAGAAGAGAGTGGCCGCTGTCAAGAGCTTGGCTACCGGTGTTCTGCCGCATATAGGTATGTTTGATTACCAAAAAGTAAAGCAGCTGCTGACGCTTCAAAGACGTAACCGATGATATCCTGAATCACCTCGTACGTTTCTTGAATGATTATACAACCGATAGGCGAGGAGACATCGGTTCCTTGATTCGGCTTGAAGCGATCCAGGCCGCAAAGACGGTCCTAGGAGCAGGGCCAAGACTTCCCAATCAATTGCCTGGGGTGCAAGATATTGTTGGGTGCCTTTGCCGACTTGCAGCGGAAAAGCTCGACAAAGTACGTGTGCAAGCTTGGAATTGTCTTCAGGGCTACTGGGAAACAGCCAATGGCTTTCCGCCGTTGACAAGGTGTGTCTACCATGTGTTTTCAAGATGAGGATACTGATTACATCAGGAAATACGAACACTTCAGTCATGTATCCTCAACAGATTATCTGCTGCAGCTGCTTCAGTTGCAGAGTATTGACTGGCTGCGCCAGCCTCTGTTCCAAGGCCTAGCAACTTCGGCCGTTGCAGGTAGCGAAGGCCTGATTCGGTCATCTCGCTCAGCCCTGGTACAGAGCATTCAAGAAGCAGAAGATCCACAGGCTGCAGTATTGGCCATAATCAAGGACATGGCTGCCATCTTGGGCGAGAACCTGCAAGACGATCGGTTCGCGATTCCTGTGCTTGAGGTCTTGGCGTTCCTGTTGGACAGCTTTGTCTCTTCTGCGCCCGACGACTCGATCCCAAGGTGCTTTTCTCCCATTTGCAGGCTACGACGTCTACTAACATGGAGTAGTCTGCGGAAGCTATTTGTCCTCGTACAAAGAGCGCACTTCAAATCGTCAAACATCGCCCGACTCGAAGCGGCAGTCCGGGCTTATGCACCTCTGTCGAGGATAGAGCAGCTACATACGGAAGTGATCAAGAAAATGACGGCGCTGCTACTGCATCCGTTCCCTAGGGTGAGTAGCGATTTCTCTGCGGTGTTTACAGCTAATCAGAGTAGGTACGTAACACTGTGGCCGAGTATATATACATAGAGACGGAGTTTGAAGTCGTCAAGACGGAAGATTGGTCCAAACCGACCAAGCAGTTGAAAGAGCAGGTTGAGAAGTTGAGGAAGACATTAAGTTGTAATTAGCGCATTTCGTCGGAGTTTTGGATATCCCATGATTCGGCGACTTATCATTCCGCATAAAATGAATTGAGATGAAAAATGAATAATGAATAAGAGATACATACAAGGTCTACTATGTAGTAACGGCAAGATAGAAATGCGAAAAGCAAAAAAGAAATTTCTGTGCATCATCCGTGAATCGAACACGGGCCTCATCGATGGCAACGATGAATTCTACCACTAGACCAATGATGCTGTTGTGGTGGAAAAAAAGTCCATGTTTCACATCATCAACGGCCCGGCTGCTCCACCCAGCAGCAATCACCTGACCCGAAGCTCACCCGCTAAAGCGGCACCCATCCACCGGCCCCGTCGCCGACATATCTACAGTTCGAGACCTACTCCAGGTAGGTAATTCCGAGAGCTCTCACACCAATCCTCCAACTCCTCCACCAACAAGGGTACATCCCACCAAAAATCACAGCAACAATGGCGTCCATAACAGCGCCCACCCCGATACCCCCCAACTGCACGTAAGTCCAAGCCATTCCCCCCATCTCTTCATCCTCCGAACCCGCATCGCAACAAACCCATATAGCAATAACACAAACTAACCACCAACTCACAGAGTCTACGTACAGTTACCTCCCCCACAATTCCCATCCCCACAACTTTACCAATCTTCTAACAGCCCAACGAAACAAAATAGGTCCGCAACCTGGAAGAGCGCATCAAAGTCGACCAGCTAAAAGAAGCACTGGAAGAGATCTTCTCCGAATACGGCACGGTACTTGAAATCGTCGCGAAAACGAACCTGAAAGCGAAAGGACAGGCGTTTGTTGTCTTCGACACCGTGGAGTCGGCGACCCGCGCCATCGACGAAATCAATGGCTTCGAACTCTTCGATAAACCCATGGTGTTGGATTACGCGAAGACGAGAAGTGATATGACAGTGTTACGTGAGGGCGGGGAGGATGAGTTGGAGGCGCACAAGAGACGGAGGTTGGCTGAGAAGGGTATGCATATTCCCCTTTACCTTCCTTTCCTAGTTGATATTGTGGGTTGGTTACATTCTGGATGACAAGGCTAATGGTAGTGTGTGTCTGGTGTAGAACGCAAACAAGCGCACGAAGCCCTCGAAGCTCAGAAGAAGCTCAAGCGACCCCCCGGTGCACCTACGGAACCTGGCCGTCCTGCGAAAACTGCCAAGGGCGCTGGTCTCAAGCCTACCAGTGGGGCTGCGGCGGCGGTTATTCCGGACGAGTATCTGCCTCCGAACAAGATTCTCTTCTTGCGCGATTTGCCCGATACTGCGGATCAGGACAGTCTGACGGCTGTGTTTGGTCGGTTCGAGGGATTCCAGGAGGTTCGGTTGGTCCCCGGACGCAAGGGTATCGCGTTCGTCGAGTACGAGAACGAGTCTGGAGCTATCAGTGCCAAGGAGGCGACGTCGGGGATGCCTATGGGAGAGGCCGGAAAGCCCATTCGCGTTACTTACCAGAGACAATGATTGGGGTGGTTGTGGCTTGTTTGGCGTTGGGGTGGGTATTTCTATTTTTTTTTCTCCCTCGTGTCTAGTATGTCTCTTGTTTTATTACTATTACTACCTACTTGATTTGTTGGATGGTATCTGGGAAGAAAGCATGTCTGATGTCTCTTTTTGAGGTAAATCATTTGGCTGGCGGTGTGATATCTGACAGTGTAAGGCATATGAAGTGACGAAAAAGAACTGCTCCAGGCTAGAAAGTGTAGGTGAGTGAGGTACTAGTTACAGGGCGAAAGGGAATCTGAACGGCGCCTAGAAAATCACGTCGGCATCTTCTTGCTCTCCGAGGACGTCGGGTGCTTCAGGTGCCTCTTCTGCCTTCTTCTCAGCATCCGCGCTTTCCTGCAGCCTGGCTGCTTCTTTCTGCCGCGCAGCCAGGATCTCTGCGTCTGCAGCGGCGTTGTCGCGCTGCTTCTTACCGGAAACCTTCTTCAGGCGGTAGAACTCTTCTCTGTCGAGCTCGTCTAGCTCCGAGTTGATGTCTGGGTGGTGTTAGTGGTGAGGAAGATGTCAGGGTAGGGATACGAACATTTAATGGTGTTTTCAGTACGGGGAATGATGACGTGCTCGCTGTAACCGGTTAGTATCTGGGTTAATGGGCGAACCGCTGCATATCTTACATGGCGTTGACTGTGACAAGTTAGCTTAATGAACGATATAAATTCTGACAGTAGCACGTACCTCTCCGGTTCACCACCTTAATGACCTCGTCTAGAATCACGAATGCGGTCTAAGAACAGCATTAACTCGTCTGACGAACGACACGAGTGTATAAAACCAACCTGTAGACTCGCCAGCTCCACTAGCGTTTCCACCGCTCTGGCATAGGTCTCCCGACAGCGCTGGACCTGCATACCACCCTTTCCGAGACCCGTCAAGCCAAAGTCGTTGATTCCATCCTCCGTGTAGCTCTCAAAATGAGGGAGCAAGACACCAGAGACGTTCTCTTGCTTGGCCCTCACACGGAACCGGGCCTGCTTGGCGGACTCCTGAATTTGGTAGCCAATATCTCCTCCGACCGCATAGCTGACTTCGGCAAGCGAGAAAGCGGCGATTTGCATGACCCGTCCCATCTTCTGCTTGGCCTCATCGATGCGCCGAGTGATCTCTAGACACCGGGGTTAGTGTCCGACATGGTAGGGAGCTTCAGTGAGGAAGGGCTGTCATACCCCGGAAACGCCTGTAGATCGGGATGGGTTAGTGATAACAAGATCCAATTAAATAGCGCCAGTCAAAGAACATACTTGGTCAAAGCCTCACTCTTCCGCTTCAACAAACTGTGTCCAGTCTCGGCACCCTTTAGTTTACCCTTCATCAACCCCAACGACTGGCGAGTCGGAAAAACTGCCTCACGGCCCTGAATAGGTGAGTGTAATTAGTATGCATGCCCCCGCACAGCTCTGAAAGGAGACTGGAGGATCAAATCTGGACATACCACAGCACCCGACATGATTGATACAGACAAAAACACAAATTAACAAAGAGGGAACAAGCAGGGCCACTCCAAACCCGACAAAGGCCACGATAGCTGCAGCGAGGAGGGAGGGCCGCGATATGCGATGACGATGCGCGATAGTGAGCTTGGACCACCCCGTGCCCGCCCGCATGACTGCCGGTCACGTGCACAACGTCCGACTTCATCGCCCGCAGCGCTCGGCGCTTTTCTCCAACCCGCGCGACCAGACAAGCTTTACCCGTTCATGCGACCCCCTTTTCTGCGGATTTCGTGTTGACCGTGTGAGTTGGTCCCGCTCGATTGAGTGGCGCAATGCCAGGGACAATCCTGCCCCCGAGATCCCACCGGCAACACGCTCAGATGGACCGAACGACGGCCTCAGGGCCGGATCTCTACCTGATTGTAAGTGGGGGCGACGCATCCATTGATTTACCAGACAACCCTGGCTAACTGTGCGATGTGATTTCAGGCCGATCAGGATACTGTCTACGAACAGGATCTCCTTCGCAGTCCCGGTAGCATCAAGCCATGGCTTGCCTATATCGAATATAAACAGCAACATGGCACGCTCTACGAGCAAGCCTTTGTACGTTTTCTCTGTCGTCGCAATGACGTCCCGATATACGTGCTAACCAAAGTCATGTGCAGGTCATGGAGCGGGCGTGCAGAGAATTGCCGAGATCTTACAAGCTATGGAAGATGGTATGGAACCTTTCTTTTTCTACCTGCGGAACCCCTCATATTACTATATTCCGTGTCACATCGTGGTGTCAGAATACAGCTGACCAGAGGCAGTACCTCGAATTTCGAACACACCACCTAAAGGGCCGCAACGCGACTGTTTATCGGGCCGAATACCAGAAAGTCAACGCGCTCTTCGAGCGTGCTCTCATCCTGCTCAATAAGATGCCGCGGATATGGGAAATGTACCTCTCCTTCCTGCTCCAGCAGCCTCTTGTCACGCAAACTCGACGGACGTTCGATCGTGCGCTGCGAGCTCTGCCAATCACACAACACAATCGGATTTGGAAGCTCTACAAGATTTTCGCGCGTTCCGCGTCAGGCCAGACAGCTGTGAAGATCTGGGCTCGGTACATGCAGATTCACCCTGAGAATGCCGAGGAGTACATTCAATTGCTCGTCGATATGGGCCAATACACGGAGGCCGTGAAGCGGTACATGGAGATCCTCGACAACCCCCGTTTCCAGTCCAAGGAAGGAAAGAGTAACTTTCAGCTGTGGACCGAGATGGTTGACTTGTTGGTATCAAAGGCGAAGCAGATCGAGACTGGCCCTCAGGTAGGAATTGATGTCGACGCCATTTTGCGCAGCGGCATTGATCGGTTTGCCGACCAGAGGGGCAAGCTGTGGGCTGGCTTGGCCACGTACTGGATCACCAGAGGCAATTTCGAAAAAGCTAGAGATGTCTTTGAGGAAGGTATCACGACGGTCATGACAGTCAGAGACTTTACCCTGATCTTTGATTCTTATGTCGAATTCGAGGAGTCTATTATCGGAAGCTTGATGGAGTCAGCAGCAACCCGAACTGACAAGGGACAAAGTGACGAGGAAGCCGACTTCGACCTTGATCTGCGGATGATGCGATTTGAGCAACTGATGGACCGACGACCGTTCCTTGTTAACGATGTGCTGCTCAGGCAGAACCCCAACAATGTCATCGAGTGGGAGAAGAGAGTGGCCCTCTGGGGAGACAACAAACACGAAGTCGTGCAAACATACACAGCAGCTATTGCAGCTATCAACCCCAAGAAGGCCCATGGCAAATTCTCCGAACTTTGGGTCAACTATGCCAAATTCTACGAGAATGGAGGCGACCTGGACACAGCTAGAGTCATCTTTGAGAAGGCTGTCAAGGTTCCTTTCAAATCAGTGGCTGAACTGGCCGAGACATGGTGCGAGTGGGCGGAAATGGAACTCCGGAGCGAGAACTTCGACAAGGCCGTGGAGATCATGGCGAAGGCAACGCAAGCACCGAAGAAATCGACTGTTGACTATTTCGACGAGAACCTGTCACCTCAGCAACGTGTGCACAAGAGCTGGAAGTTGTGGAGTTTCTATGTCGATCTGGTCGAAAGTGTGTCTTCCCTGGAGGAGACCAAGAAGGTGTACGAAAGGATTTTCGAACTGCGCATTGCTACCCCTCAAACCGTCGTCAACTACGCCAATCTCCTGGAAGAGAACAAATACTTCGAAGATTCCTTCAAGGTCTACGAGCGTGGATTGGATCTCTTCAGTTACCCTGTTGCATTCGAGCTGTGGAATCTCTACCTGACCAAGGCCGTTGACCGGAAGATTGGAATTGAGCGACTCCGCGACCTGTTCGAACAGGCCTTGGACGGATGTCCTCCCAAATTTGCCAAACCTCTCTACTTGATGTACGGCAACCTGGAAGAGGAGCGCGGTCTGGCCAGACATGCCATGAGAATTTACGAGCGTGCTACCCGCGCCGTCTCAGACGAGGACAGATTCGAGATGTTCGAGTTCTACATCACGAAGTCGGCTTCAAACTTCGGATTAACTTCCACGAGACCCATCTACGAACGGGCCATTGCAGCCTTGCCCGACCAAGAAGCGAAGGAAATGTGCCTCAAGTTTGCAGAAATGGAGCGGAGACTCGGAGAAATCGACCGGGCCCGTGCGATCTATGGACACGCGTCTCAGTTCTGCGATCCCCGTACCAATGCGCCCTTCTGGCAGAAATGGGAGGCATTCGAAGTCCAGCATGGAAACGAGGACACCTTTAAGGAGATGCTTCGTATCAAGCGCAGTGTTCAAGCACAGTACAAGTAAGTGATACCCACATATATTAAGCAACCAGCTCATGACTAACCTCAAAACAGCACCGATGTCAACTTCATCGCTTCCCAGGCGATTGCCCGCAGTCAACAGCGGACCCAAGACGGCGGCAAAGAAAACGAGCAAGATGGCGAGGATGCGGCGGCGGAGCGTGCAGACGCAATGGCAGCATTGGAGCGACAGGCTCGTGCCCCCGTGGGCTTTGTCGCCGCCAGCACCGGACCAGAAGGTGGCAATCGGTCACCTCCAGCTGGCCAGGAACAGCAGCCTTCGGCTGCTCCAGTCAACCCGGATGCGATAGACCTCGATGACGACATGGATGCTGACTAGTTTTTTCTTTCTCGTTTCTTCTTGCTCAATTTACCTGTATACCATTCCTTTTATCTTTTGAATAGCTGCACTGCAATCTCAATGACAACATCTCATCATCCACCATCAAATTCAAGATGGAAATTGCTGCAAATCTCCTGACTTTCCATCGTCATCGCCATCAATCACTCTTCTATACTTTCCCCACTTACCATCTACCCCATCCGAGCAGTCACTGTGGCTACTGGACCCTTTTGAATAGCCCAGAACAACCCCTCCAGATCATCTGTACCACTCGACCATCCAACTTCTTTCTCCTTTGTTCTGATCTCCAATCCATTCTACCAGCCCGCGCACGCGCACGCGTTTTTCGTTTCCCACCTCGCTCTATATTTGTTATACTTATAGGATACCTATTTAGTTAGTACATCCCATTATTCTCTTCGGCGTTGCTTTACTATATAGTATAGTATAGACAGCCTGAATCGGAGCTGAGCTTATTTGTCTGTTGCTGATCGATCGTGAACCTTTCTTTACCCTTTATAGAATATGCTTGCTGTGAATGAGTTTCAGGTTGTAGACCTTTCTCTCTCTCGTCCAATTCAGTGTCTACTAGGTATTTGTAATTATAATTACCAAGGTGGAAATAGGAGGTTTCTCTTTCGATCCTATGTATGAATGGTTCTGATTGTATGATTAATACCATCGAGAAGAGAGAAACTAACAGCAGGTTCTATCTATGCTTCAAGTAGGTACTTAGTTACCTCGCAGATTTTCGACACATACACAAACAACGAAACATGAAATATGCATGCTTGGGGGATAGTTCAGTCCCCGTCACTAGATTAGTCAATGTATCAAACCAAAGAAAAGGCAAAACGGTCTTTCTTCATGATGAGCAGTTGATTATATTTACAGGGTACACAGGTAGGTGGGTAGGTATTTTTGCAAAACATGGATGGTAAGTGGCAAAGGCAAAATCGAATATAACCCACGCTATAAAATGCCCGAGGTACATGGAAAACAATGGGTAACAAAAAAGTGAATATTGGGGATAAAATTGATCATTACAGTGCCCGTCAGTGCCTGACGTGTCTCAGTAACTGGAATGATTAATCCTGTTTAGCCGCCGGTGCTTCGGTCTCTTCTGCTTTGGCTTCGGCGGCAGCTTCAGATGAGGCCGGTTGCTCTTCTGCGCTGGTACTGACTTGCTCTTGGGGTTCAGCAGGGGGAGTTGGAGTTGACGGGGCAGGGGAGGGAGCCACGGAGACGGGGGCGGATTTCTCGTCGGATGCATTGGGGAAGATTTCCTTGAACAGATCAGGCAGGAATCGTTCCAGGCGTTTCTTGGTCTCTGTCCAGATGGGCTCCTTGCTGGGATCCTGGGAAGGAGGGACCAGGTAGCCTCCGTCTGCCATGACGAGGAGGATGTTCTTGAGACTTTCAGGGATTGCCTCTTCCTGTTTGGGGTTAGTGTTGGGCTATGAGTTCAGGTTGTAGTAAGGCAACTTACCAGGCTGTCTCCTTGGCCACTGTTCATCATCCGGTCGAGGATATCGAGGATCTTGAGCCACAGATCGAGCATGCCGTCACGGTTGGGAAGCTGGTCGAGGTAGCGCAGGAAGATTTTGCACACCAAGATGGCCACTTGGACGCGGGTTTCACCCATTCCCAAGGGATCGGAGTGGTATACTTCGGGCTTCAATAACCGGAGGATAAGAGGGAAGAGAACTTGGTCGAAGATGGCTGTCCACTCCTTCTCATCGGTGGAGCTGATCTCAAGGGAAAGGAGAGTTCTTTGTAGAGCTGAAACAGCATGGTGACGGATATCTCTGCATGGGTTGATGCATTGCGCAGTCAATGATTGGAATATAGGGGACCAGTAGGCGGACCAGGCTATGAACACAGGTTAGTTCAAGTTTTAATGTATAGAGATCCTCTTAGACGAACCTTCGCTTTCCTCGAGGTGTGACTGCTTGATTAGGCTCGGCACACGCCGGGTCAATTGCAGGACGAAACCGATGGCCTTAACGCCACGTGATACCACCTCATTCTCACTACCAGCATCGTCAGTATTACAAAGTCGGTACAAGCGTGAGTATTTCAAGGGCGTACCTCGGCTTTGAAGGCTTGACAGCTTTGCCACGTCTTCCATGCGCGTCCCGCTGACGCTCTTCAATATAGCCTACGCTACCGGCGCTGATGAAGTCATTTGCAAGGCCAACGGCAGCCTCATAGTTATCGGCAGTGATTATGGGAGGATTCGAGTCCACAATGGAGTGTAGCAGATCGAACACAAGTGGAGCAGCTTCCTTGTGAGGCAGCAGTCTCTGCAAGATGGACCAGAAATCAGGAGAGACGGTGATCTCGTTCCGCAAAAGCCCGGGGCTCGAGATGCAGCGGGATAAGCTCTTCACTACCGTAACGGCGACGCTTTCCAAGATGTCCTGGTCAAAGCCAGAGATGCCGTGCAAGATTACAGGAACCCTCATGAAAGGCTGATCCTAAACGCTGGTCAGTGTACTAGAAGGTCGTAAGGAGGGAGCTGACATACGTGGCTCAGCCGGAGCAGGTTCAGCAGATAATGAATGATTCGGGACAAGGCCAAAGAATGGATGTTTCTCGCGTCGCGAATGAACGCTTGTAACGTGGTCAGGAGTCTCTCCCCGAGAGCCTCTAGGGTTTGCGAATCCCGCAAGGTCAGGATAGTCGCTAGTTCAAGGAGGTACATCATGCCTGGGTCGTAGTTGGACCTGCTGCCATCGGTCCTGCCGTTGGACGCCCTTGAGCCAGCTGAAGGTCGTTCGGGCTTCACGACAATGACTGCCGGAGCACTTTCTTCGGGCATCTGGGCCAATAGCGCTTCTACAACCAAAGTCACCGTCTCCAATGGAAGGGACCTAGAAATCAGGTTAGAGATACGAGTAACAAAGGACCGCGAATGGTACTACTCACTTGATATTTGCCAAGATGTCGGCTGTAGAACAAGCGGTAATGCAGTCCACAGTGCACAAGGTGTTCTCCAGCTCTTCATCCGACGGCTCCGGAGGCTCATCAGCTGCGTAGCTGGAGAGGTATGACGTGAAAGCAGATAGAAGCCCAGTTTCCGTATTCCGTCCATCGCGGTCCACGACTTGCGACGGAGTCTGCAATGGAATTGGCGAGATATCAAGCTCAGCGGTAAGATTGGAATCGAGCGCAGGAATAAGAGAATTAATGAACAGGTTGCTAAGGATTCGAGCCACATAGGTCCAGCCCTGCTGAACTGCGGCTTCATTGCTAGCCAATACACGGAAGAGTACCACCGCGGCCAGTTGGGCCCTGAAATCCCGCCCGAACTTCACCGCAAGTTCGCTCACCATCACGCTCTTCTGACCGGCCTGCACTTCGGTGTTGAGAGCGGTACTGGGGGGCTTTTCGGTAGCCAAGGTACTGATCGAGGACAGACAAAAGACGATCCGGTCGAAGGCGTCGGTTAAGCCATGACGGGCAGCGATTTGGGCGCACTGATCGAATCCAGTGACAACCCGGGAGTAAACTGCGTCATCCGAGGCAGACATGAAGACATAAGATAGAGTCGCGACCACCGGTTTCCAGGTAGCGGCGAACATCTCAGCGTCGTAGATGTTGGTTTCACCAACAACCAACTCTCCGGCAGAGGAGGATTTCAGCAACAATTCCCGCCACGCAAAGTCGAATGCGTGCTGGTTATCATGCTCATCCGGCAAAATGATCTCATTATGTTTGATTGAATCGTAGATCTCCTGCAAGAATTCAGGTGCGAAGTCCTGGCCTGAATTCACGCCCCGCAGATTCCGGGAGAAATCGGTACAGGACATGCGATTTTGGGACTTGATGTTGGGGTTGTAGAGCTCTGTATTAAGCATGATGATGGCGTACGTTAGCACAAAGGCAGCGTCTTTGTCGGCGATCTGAGCGGGCTGGGCCTTTTGCATGTATTTCTCGGTGAAGGTGGTGACGATACGTTCGATGAGGGGTGATTCGCCAGGCAAACGGAAAGCACCCAGGAGATCACGGAGGGCATCTACGATGGTCTTTCCAGAGAAATCGAACAGCTCGACAAAGGCATCGAGCAGCTCTTCATTATTGCGCTTGGACAAATATTCACCCAGCATCTTCTTTGACAACCGAGTCGTCCCCTTCAAGAAACGAGCAACAAGGGCGGGATCACTCGGGTCTTCGATGATACCGTGGGATGCCAGATAAGCAATCCCAGCTTTGGGATCCTCGTTGAACTTCTGGGCGGCGTGAATGATCAGCTTCTTCGTCTTGCGCTGGCTCCGGAGCTGCTCGATGGGGGGGAAACCCTCGTGCGACGGCTCGTCGTCAAGTCGATCGTAGATGAATTGAACGTAACCAAGTAGGGCGTCCAGACACAGCGGAGGCACGTTGGTCGTGCTCCACGTAGCTGAATCCGGAAACGCACTACGTGAGAGCAAGCCGACCATGTCCTCGCACAGGTCGGCCCGATCGACATCGCAGTCGTAGTTGATGAAAAGCTCTACCATGAAGCTCGGGATGCGTGCCAGCACGCCAATGCTCTCGACCATGGCTTCCCGGGTCTCCGGCCTCCGCGACCCACCTTCCAGACCCAACTGTTGTCTATCCTTAACGGGAACCGGCGTGGATCTTCCACTATTCGTTTGCGATGGCGACGGCTTCACGAGCTTGGGCACCTGCGGGACACCGTCGTAAAGGGCCGGATTGATGCCGGGCTCTTTCGGAATTTCGACCTTCGGGTGCAAACAGGCGACCAGGTAGGACAGGTAAAGCTCCTGCTGCAACTTCAAGACCGGCCGACAAGTTAGCAACAGAGTGCCGGCGACCCTCAGTGACGCCGTTAAGATTGCGATGTTCTCTGATCGAACCAGCTGGAAGAGGTGCCGGCATAGGTCGTCTTGCGCCAGCGTCGCGAGACTTGGGTGTTTCGCAATAGACGGACCCGCGACCTCCAGGGCAACGTCAATGATCCTCAATGCCATGACCTTCATCGGCTCGGTATGTTGGCGGTTGTGCGGATCTAACAGGTCGATGAGGACGCGGAACAGTTCACGAATGGACGGTAAAGAGTATGGTTTCACTTCGTCACCGGTGTCGTCCTGGGGGTTGGGCGGGGCGGCAACGGCACTTCCATTCAGCATCTGCTCCGGCGATCCATCTCGGCTGCCGCGATCGCGATCAGTGACCCCGGTGTCGGAACCCATGGCGGATGGATGTTGCGAGGTCACGGTATTCCCGTCGACGGACGGATCCATCTTCAAGTTGGTCTGCTCGGACTCGGTGCGCAAAGGAGCTTGGGATCCGGTTTCGTCGTCCTCGGAGAGTTCCAGGTGCGACAGGCGCATAAAAATGACCTGACACATGTTGACCATGGCCATTTCGGCCGATCTCCGCAACACCTCCGACAGGCGGACCTGACAACACATGCTCAGACCGGTTTCCATCATCTCACAAACACTCTCGTCTCCGAGCAGCTCGCCCTCGGGCCGAGACAGCATCCCTTCCATCAGTTTCAAGATCCGCAGCAAGACGATCTCATCGGCGGCCGAATCACTGGCTTCGAAGCGACAATGGGTAATGGCGGCCGAGAGGAGTTGCATGGCCATGGGGAGTCTGGGAGAATCGCAACTAATGATGTTGTAGGCGAAGAATTTGGTCAGGGCGACAAGGGCCAGGGAGGTAATGGCGGCGGAGGTGGAAGAGGATCGGATGACCTGGAGGAACGGGTGAAGCAAGGCAGGAGCGTCAAAGGATCGGATATCTTTGCAACCCTTGAGGTCGCTCCGCAACCTGGCAAAGGCTGAAATCAGCGGGTTATCTTGCATACTCTTGCCCTTCTTGCCCCGGAGACCCCAGCGGTTCGCGAGGACGTGATCCTCATCGGCGGAGGACATTCTCGATCGTGGACGGGGCGGCGTAGACCCATTGCGGGGGCTTGGGGGCGCCGATGTATCTCGGTCGTAGACACGAGAGACGGCGCCTCCGCCGAGGATGGCAGAGACGGACGAGTGAGCCCAGCGGGCATGTTTTCGCATGGCCGATGTGACTGTGATGCATTCCGTAATGACCAACGCGACCGGATCGACCGCGATGGGTAAAGGCGTGGACGACATGATGAAGAGCAGGAAGGGAGAGGGAACGGCCAAAAGAAAGTCGCCGAACAGTGGGAGGCAATTCAAATCATGGCCCTACTCGAACAGAGCAGCGAGAGGGAGGGGGAAGGAGGGGAGGAGGAGGAATGAGGAGAGGAAGTTGAAGGAGCCGAGGGGAGGAGGCAAGTTGAGTTCGGCGAGCGGGAGGAACACAACAGCTGGTCTTCTTTGGGCTCCGGCGAGCGGAGAGCCTGCCTGAGGTTCTCCATCCCTGCCCGATGGGGTTTAGGCCCGAATCCGTCTCCGGCGGCCAAACAGTAGAATCACTGCAGTAGATGCGATGCTATTTATTAGTGTCTAGATATTTCATGTCGGTATATCATACAATATAAATATTTAAGGGTTTCTTGACCGGTGAGGTAATTTATTATGACATTAAAGTTCCTTTCAAAATACATCAACCCTAAGGCAAAAATAATAACTCTCATGGTTACTACGCACCCAAGCGACAGTCGCTGCAGTAACTACTTTATAACTCTTGTCGCTTGAGGAGGGGAAATCTGCAAGGGTTGCTTCCCCCATGGCGATTTGCTGAGGATAGTTGCGGGGGTTGCATGAGGATGCCTTGCTTGATCCTCAGAAAGTTAAACCTGTAATAACTTATTTGTTCAGGAGAAGAGCTGATGGTTATGGTAAAATCTTATAATGAACATATATGAAGGAACGGGAGGGTATTCCCGATCCACACCCATGAAGAACAATTGATTGATTGCTTGATTGATTGTGTGGTTTGGGCCTGGGTTTAAGGATAGTAAGGATCCATGGTTGGGATTGTGTGATGTTTTGAAGGTATGGGCGGTGTGGCCAGTGAGAGCAGTAGCCTCGATCTATCAATCTGGCAGTCCGCAGTAGCTATGTACCGGTCCCACATTCGGTCTTTTTTATTTTTATTTTTAAATCAAATCGTTTAGTATTGTTTTGGTTATCTGACTGACGATATAGTAAACAACTGCTTGTTTCCTCCAGGATGATCAACACATCCATGATGCACCCTAATCCACCCTTACCTGAGTAGTAATTGAGTAACTTCGGCGCGGGTGTGACCCTCTCGTGGACATTCCATGAATCTTCCCGTGGCTTTCTTTTTCCGGACAATTGTTGACAGTTGGCGCACTTTCCCCCTTTCTACACGTGTCGGCGTGTGATTTCTTCGATTCTGTGCTGTTGGGAATGGAAGGAAAGTACTAGAAGTAATCCGGACAATTTTATAGATGGTATACTTGGTAAGGGTACATACTGTAGGAAATAAGCTATTAGCATTCCTTTCCCAAATTAAGAGTGTCATACTCCGTACTATGTGTCACTCTTAAATTTTTATTCACTGTGAATGAAGGAAAGAGGATAGTCGATCTGCCACCGATCTAAACTAAACCAGATTAAGGGTTTGCCAGATCCTCTCCCCCGCGTGTCCGAAACACAAAAAAAGAAGAAAAAGAGAAAAAGGGCGCGTCACACTCCCAAACCGGCCAGACCCGATCTTCTCTTTCTCTTCCCCTCATCGTGGAGGGCTGCAGCAGCACTAAATCCATCAGCGACCAACTTTAGTCGCCAGTCGCTCGGTCCAACGCTGCAAATCCCCTGCAAGTCCCTCACCTGGCTGTCAAAAGACGAAAACAAACACACTTACAAGCTTATTCCTGTGTCTCTCTGTATCTCTCGTCTCTCTCTCCCCATCTCAGTGTCCGTCAGTGTCTGTGTGTCTGGGCCCTTCCCCTCAGAAACGCGTCTTACGATCCCGATCGATCCATTGATTGATTAATTAAATCATCGCCATCACCGCCGCTGCTTGACTTTCTCTTTCTCCTCTTCTTCCCTTCTCCTCCTCCGCCTTTCTCTTCCCCAACTCACTCACTCACTCCCTCACTCTTCTTCTTCTTCTTCTTATCACTCCTCACCAGTTCCTCCCATGGAGGGGTTTCCTTCTCTTTCCCCTTCCGCTGTGTGAGGACCCTCATTCGTTACGCCCACTGACTGTGCGACATCGCCGCTTTTCTCTATTATGTCTTCGTCCATCTACTACATCGACCTTCTTTTGCCATAGTCCTTCCCTACTAATTCTAATCCCCTCCCTGGGACCTGCCCATCCGGTTCTTTTGTGGTTGGGCATCACTGATCGCGGATCACTGATCACTAACTCTGCCTACTTTTTATTTCCTACCTATTTCCTGCTACTTGCTTAGCTCTTCTCTTATCGTTCTCGGTTTCTGATTGACATTAAGATTGGCCTTTTCCTTAATAATCTGTCCCACTTATTGGCTATCTACTAGTGCAACTAATCCTTGATCGCTCTTTCCATCCAACACCCCCGCCACTTTATCGGTCGGCCATTTCCCACGCTTTCGTTGCATGCGATAACCCAGCTTTCCCTCCTTCCTTCCTCCCTCTCCCCCCGCCCGCCATCATGGCGACGGTCTCAACCGCCCCATCGGACCTGCCTCTGGAGCAGCTTTCCTTATACCATGCCTCCGATCCCTATTTATCGTCCATCTTCATCTTCTACGGTCCCGTCGCAACTGCAAATGCCACCGTCAGCAGTTCGCGCATTCAGGCGCATATCCTCACCCCCGCCGGCTTCCAAAGCTACCCGCGCATCACCGTCTCCCCCGCCGCCCCCTTGTACGCTGCGGTCAACCACTTGCCCCGAGAAAAGCAAGGCGATGAAGTCAGTCGTGGTCTCGCCGTCAGTATGCTGAAGTACTTCGCAGAGCTGTCGGACCCCGCCAAGGAGTGCTTGCAGACTTTCGCCCGCGCCGGGAAACCGGGGCTCCGACTGCCCAAGCTCTTCGATGAAATGCACGCGGCGGAAATTGCAAATCGCATGACGAAGATAGAACATACCGCCGACATTGTGCGCGACATTCGTGGCGCTTTCCAAGAGCGCAAGGTTCCCTGGGTGGATATCGATGTGGTCCTCCCCGCCGGTGTCATCCAGCCTCCTACCCCGCCCGATAACGATGATGATGTTCATGATGGTAATGCGGATTTGTACGATGCCCCCGATCTTCAATACGGACGCTATACATCTCTGGTACGATCCCTCGGAGCGCCCATGTTCCTCCCCACTTCCCGACTCAAGCGCGCCCCGTCGCAACCGACCAACCTGAGCAAGTCCCGGCTCTTCTCGAAGGGCCAGAAACAAGCTCTGCGCTTGACCATGTGCGAAGTGGTGGACACGGAGGAGAGATATGTGAACAAGCTCTACACCTTGGTGTGTCATGTAGCGGAGGAGTTTCGGTTAAAGGCCCAGGCCAGAGGCCCATCGAGCACCAGCCCCAATGAGTCCGACCTGGCCACGCTCTTTCCACCATGCTTGAATGAGATTCTTGAGGTCAACATGGGTTTCCTAGGGGTGATTCGACAAGTTCTCGAGGAGACGGAAAAAGAAGCCATTGATGACCTCACCGATGATACAGAACTGCCGGGATCGGTGTCGCAACGATCTTTCTCGCGGGAGGAAACGGATGCGATTGGCGCAGTGGCCTTTGCCAATGCACTTCTAGACTGGTTTCCCCGATTTTCCCAGCCATACGCCGATTATATGCGGGCTCATACCGGCTTCACACAGACGCTCAATTCATTCATGAGAGACAAGCACTCGAGCTTTTCGAAGCGCGTCTATGAAACCGGAGAGCAGAAGCTGCGCTCCCTCCTCATGGAGCCGGTGCAACGTCTTCCTCGCTATAGTCTCCTGATCGACACTATGACCGGCAGTCTCCCTCTGGTTCACCCGGCCGTCCGACCACTACTGAAAGCGCGCGATGTTATTAAGGACATTTGCTCGCTGGATGACGCTTCGTCAACGAATCACGACCAGAGCTTCCGACGGTTGAAAGAGCTGGTGGACGGATGGCCCTCTACCATTCTACCCACCGGCCGCCTGATCACCGCCGTGGACTTCAACGAGCTAACCCCGCCCTATCATCTCGATGTCCCACCCACCGAGCCCAGCGCGGGCATTATGCTGATTTACAAGAACTGTCTGGTATTACTATCGAAGCCAGTGGGTGCGAAGACCACAGCGCGTGGTCTCCTGGCCGATCTGGATAACGCCGCCGCGGCAACCAATACTGCACCCAATTCGCCCGCCTCATCCGAACTTCGAGTGGTGCAAGTATACGACTTACACACTGTGCGATGTACGCAGTCCACGTGTGGCCGAATTTTGTTCTTGGCCCCAGCATCCGCCACCTCAAGGCCCGACCAGAATACGACAGTGGACCTGCTTGCACTCGAGCCGGTGTCCATGTACGAAGGCCGTGCGAGCCGAATCATAGAGGAGATTGCGAAAGCCAAGATCGAGGGCCGGTTCTCTGAAAGCGAGCGCGAAAGTGGCAAGTGGTCGCTGCGCAGCCCCACCGGTACAGTGGGAAATCTCGGGATCCTCGCATGTGTGTTCGAAGAAGCGCCGGAAGAGGCCGCGCAGAGAGCCAATCTGTCGAAGATCCGGGTGATTTTCGATACTCCTAGGGCGGAGTGCAGCCAAAAGTTGAAGGATTCCGACTTGGAGGTGATAGTATCCGTGTCTCTGGCCAATGAAGACCAATACCGAGTAGATGTTGATTCCGTAGTCGGCACTGCCTCCTCAGACATGGTCACCGTGGATAGTTTCGTGCCCGTGCTCTCCAAGCGCTGTAAGTACTCGCCAATTGACCAATTCTGGAATGAATGCTGACTCTGGCAGTGCTGAATGTGCTCCTCCCTCTCCATGGGCCTCGAAATCGGACGATGACGGAGTCGATTGTACATTCCAACTTTGACATTCTTCGGTACCTTGCCGGCCACCTCATGGCTCAGTTTAAGGTTCCCCGAGGCTTCCGCCCCCCTTCGCCCTCAAAATTGCTCTCCAGCCTTCTCGGGGGGAGTCAGTCCAAGGACAGCAATGCATCCAGCTCCAAGGCACCGACTTCGGCAACTCTACTGGGAGAGTACCCTAAAATGCCCCCGCCCCGAGGCAACATGTCGCGCTCCAACACACTGCCTTCGGTGTTTCCTGGAAAGGAGGAGAGTCCAGTCAAGATCTCAGTGGTGGGCGCTCCACCGACCAAGGGGGAGGAAAGTCCATTTAGTGCGTTGGAGCAAACATTTGCTGCTTATGCACTCGCCCTGCAGTCTCGGAGTGGGAACATTGTCGGACGGTCTCTTCGTGGGAGGGATAATGTCGATCGGTCGTCGGTCAATGAGCTGTACAACATTCTGCTGGAAGACCCTGGGCGGATCCAAGCGGCAGCTGAAGTTCCCGTCGACACGCTTTTCGTGGCCTTCGAGACGTTCATGACCAATGCGTGGAGGGAACACATGGGCCCCGTTATCGACTCTCCGTCGCTAAGGATTCTGCAAGCGCAATTTGACAACATGTTCCCGCGGGACTTTGACGAGAGCTTCCGACGGTTCTTGGCAGACCAGAGCCCCCAGAATCGGCGTGCGCTGGCTTCCATGATCCGGCTGCTGGCGGAGCTGCTGGATGCCTCGGGTAGCGATGGTGATCGGGGAGCCTTGACGGCGGCCTTTGCAGAAGTTCTGACTATCGACGGCGACCCAATGCAGCACATCTCTCTGCTGGACCGACTAGTGGATGACTTTGACAACCTGTTCGATGAATACATTCCTGGTGGTGCTTCATTGGAAGGGACCCTCAACTGCGACCAAACAAAGTCGGTTTCCCAGACTGCAGGTTCCATGAATTCGAACGCATCCTCCTTCCGGAAGCGTTTCGGCTTCGGTCTGCACCGAGAAAACTCTAAGCTGGAGGGCGAAAGCAAGGTATCGTCTATTCTCCGCACACTGAGCAAGGGTAAAGGCTCGGGTGACTCAGAGCCTGGTACGCCAAAGGGGTCGCTGCTACGGTCCAAGTCGATCGACATCGATACCAGTCTAGGATCCTTGTTACGACCAGGCTCCCGCGACCGCCCAGGTGCATCCCTCTCCCAAGAACATCTTCGACGACCAGATAGTTCTCAAGAGCAACCACCGTCTCTGTCCTCCGTTCGTGGGATCCCGACAAATACAAATGGAGTGGTGAAAGTGCGCCGCAAGAGAAGAAGTTCCCTCTCGGACCTGCGACCCGGCACTGCCTCTTCCGATGTATCTATCGTATCTAGTGTGAGACAACGACCCGCAACTCCGTCGTCTATTTCCAATCAACCCCGAGCCGACGTGGCGACTCCTGCTGGACAGGCGCGACCGCAAACTAGTCATGGCTCAGGTTCTACCGTCCGAAGCACATCACCGGCCAAGGGAGGCTCTCCCACTCGGATGCCTTCGCCAACCCGCCGATCACCGACACGCCCAGTGACGCCCAGCCGAAAAGAAAATATCGATCCCAAAATGCCGCAGACGGAACGCGCCACGAGAAGAAAAGGCGAGGCCTCGGTGTCTCCCACGCAAGAGGCCAAGAGAAGGTCACGGGCTACGAGTATTCCTTCTTCTCGGGCCCCTGGTCTGAAGGAGAGACCGCTTCAAGTTAACGGCTCCGATGCAAGACGCCTGCAACCGACGTCTTCTCAGAAGACCCCCAAACTGCGGTTGCAGAGTCCCCAAAAGGTAAGCTTGTCTCTTGCTTGATGTGCGATCGTTGGGAGGCATGATAACTAACAATGATGTTACAGCTTCGGGATCGCCTCAATAGTGAAAAGAGAGCACAAAACATGGCGCAGCTAGGTCTCAAGGACGAGCTCGATCTCATTGGTGAGGAACTACGGGCGATGAGACTCACTCCATCGTTAGTCAGAGGTGATGCACAAGGGCACGAGTCCCTTGACGAGCCATTTGCCTCGCCAACCGCCAATTCGTTCTTGGTGTCCCGCGTCCACAACCTCGAGATGAAGTTTGAAACGCTATCTGGGGAGTTCAATGGCCGCACCGCGGCGATCGAAAAGGATCTGGAGTCGTCTCTGGTGGTTAGCGAGAAACGTGCCAAGAAGCTCGACGAACTTTATCGTGAGGCCAGCGCTGAAAACGAAGCTCTTTACGATCGATTCAACTCCGAACTGAGCAAAATCGCTAAAGATGTGAGAGCTGGAAATGTCGAGGATGCGCTCAAAACACAACTGTCGTCGGCCCTGGAGGAGATTGGCCGGTTGAAGAAGGAAAATTTCCGGCTCAAACGTGAAGTGGCAGGATTACGTGCGCAGCAAGCCGCAGTGGCCTTATTGAAGGCAAGTGAGTGAGCGCTGTATGGTAGCAGGCTCGCATCATGACGTACATTTTCATTATTCTAATGTTTTGTTTCTTTCCTGGGATATCTTCGAACTGGATATGAGTGTATGCCTGTTACTGGAGATGCCCTTTCTTTTCCTTCCTTCATTTCTTTCTTGGAATCTATTTTACGGTGGTTTTGGCGTCTGAGCCATGGTGATGCTCAGGAGCGTCGTTCATTTATTCCGCACTGTGCATAACACTTCTCTTTCCTTTGTGTCGTGGCATAGCCTGCGGGTCTGCTTGGCTATTCTGGACTGCATCCGACGGGGTTTGCTTCGGGTTGGCGGGTTATGCATGTCGATCTCTTCCTTTCCTATTCTCTGTGATATTTTCACTTATGCGTACATTCCTTGTCTGGAAATCTCTTTGTAGCATAGCTTAGCTAGTTCTTCAACCAACGCATCCGTTCCAACGGTTCCCGATCAATCATTTTATACATCCACTCCCACCGGACAGTGCAAGACATTGACTTTAGAGTATCTTCAGCTCCAGGCAACCACATCTCCATAGTCGGCAACGCCACCGGCACCTCGTTCCCCCCATCCCCAACCAATACCAACATCGGCAAAGTAAACCGTACCAACCCCGGCGCATCCCGTCCCAACCGATCCATCAACGCTCGCATCTCCTCCTTGTCCGCAGCCATGCGAATACCCTTCAAATCAGACTTTTGTAGCGGCCGCACAACCAGCGACAGCGACGTCGGTCCTGCCCCTGATGGAGGCGGTATACTCGTCCCCGTAACTCGGAACCAGTACCTGTTATCCCAGAGATGCCAGTCCGATGTACTAATGGGTATTTGGGACGTTTCTGTGTTCCCGCTGTGCTGGGTTGAAGAGCATGAGGATGAGGATGAGGATGAGGGTGGGTAGATAGGCACAGTGATGGGAAGAATAGGGAGGCGGTTCCGCATGTATGGTTGGCGGGTGAGGAGGTATGTATTTCCATGGTTCGTGATATCCGGTGTGGTTGTGGTGGTGGTTGAGGAAGGGGGTGGTGGTGAATCGCATCGAAGAGGCTGGAACATAACGCCGCCTAGCGTGAAAGATTGTTGCTTTGCTGGGGCATTTCCTCGTTCCTGTGATATGGATATGGAAGAGGGAGGAGAAGAAGGGAAAACACGAGAAACAAAAGGCTCGAAACTCCGCAATGAGAAATGGTTCTCCGGGAATGGGGAGATGAGTTCGGTGATGCGTCGGAGGGTTAGGGATGATGTGTCTTTATTCGTTTCAGTTGGGGTGGGTTTCTCTGATGGAGATGGTGGAGGGAACTTGATAATCAAACACCCCGTATCCGGCGCGAATTCAATAACCTCGCATCGCTCAAGAATCTCATTTGAGTCCTCCGTTACAGACCTCAGAAGCGAATTGCTCTTCCTCATCAATGAAAGTATAGATTCTTCGCGCAGCGCACGTGGAAGTTTCTTCTCCGAGAGGAGACTCCGTATGGCATTTCTGGGAGTCAACGTTGGATCGAAGTTCGTTGGATCGTCGACGTAGGGGATGTTGTTTTCTTTGCATGTTGCGAGGAGGGATCGTTTGGGGAAGGATAAGAGGGGGCGGGTTATTGAGATGCCGCCTGTTGATATTAGATACTGCTTTTGTTGGTCCTGGGTTGTGGGGGTTGGTGGTGATTTTGTAAGTCTTAGTTCGTTGTTATTCGTAGTCTTGATGCGATAGCTAGTATAGTTTGCCGGTTTCGATAATGACATTGAAGATCCACTCTCCGCAACCCCAAACAACCCATGACATTCAGGAATACGCGTCACCGCCGGAATACCCGCTAGTCCGGCGCCCCTTGCCCCCGTGCAGAGACGCCAGAGGGTCGTCTCGACGTTGTCGTCTTGGTGGTGGCCCATTAGGAGAGTCTCGATGTTCTGTGCTCGACAGGCCTGCCCGAGAGCTTGGAAGCGGAGGCGCCGGGCGTGGGTTTCGAAGGCGGAGATGGAGTGGGATGGCCAGGTCAAGGGGAGGATTTGTGTCTTTAGGCCTGTTGTTGTGGTTAATATATGATGGAATCATGAGATGTATGGGAGTGATATACCCATATCGTCAAGCCAGCCTGCAACCATGTTCGCTTCGCGAGTACTCTCCTCGCGGGCTTTGTGGTCCACGACGAATGCTGTCACGGAGACGGTGTTGTTGCTTGTTTGCCTCTGGGTAAGTTCCCATTGTTTGCAGAGGTAGGCGAGGGCCATGGAGTCGGCGCCGCCGCTTATGGCGAGGCCTGGTGGGTGTTAATTTGGGACTAAAGTAGGTGCATGGGAGGGAGCAAACCGAGTCTGCGTGGGAGATGAGGGTCATGTTTCCGCCCTGTTCGGGCTGGTCGTGACTCCAGCCATATGCGTTGAAAGGAGTCGATGAAGTGTTTGACGGTTAGGGGGCCGGGGGAGGTGTGGCGGTGGAGATGGGATATTGCCATGGCAAATGGTCGTTTGGCTGGTTGTGATAAACTGAATGTCAAGAGGACATTGAGGACTGGTATTTGATACTATGGAATATTGAGTTCTACCATTTGTGGATCGTAGGATTATAAACATACGGTAGAAGGGGGATTGAATTAAGTGATGTGGACGGCTGGGACGAGTGCCGTTTTTGGACCAGCATATGGAATGCGAATTCAGTTTGTATGTTTATGTGTGTGCATAGTGTTACAAGAGCCCGATGGGCATGGCTGTTGGGGTAATAGACGCGAAAAGCTCTATTCAGGATGTATATTGATGTTAATGCGGTCGACTTCTGTCAACCAATTAAATCTAAAGTCACGTGGTCTTGTCATCGGGAAAATAAACTTCCGACACTGTCAAGGAGTATGTTGTTAAGAAATATAGTGAAGTAATGTATGGTCGTTGCTTTGTGCTCGACACCCTGCAGAAACATAGGATCGCCTGTGAGACAATTTGGAGGGGTACCTGAATAGTGAAACGTAGTAGTGTGCGTATGCCGTTGTCGTGCGAAAATATACCACCTGTTGACGGTCCGAGGTACTAGTACAGAATATATTTCTCCTGGAGTGACATCCCTGATGACCACAGGCACGGTGTTGATCTCACACATTGGCATTCTTGTCAGACTGGAGTTGATCCGCTTCCTCTGTACAGTCTACATCATCTTTCGGAGTCGAGCGAGTATTGAGCCATGAAATACCACCGGCCAGAATGAATGCCAGAGCGCTACCAGCTATTGGAAGATACTGTATTATAATCGTTAGTAACCCGATGAAGAAGTTATAGAACTGGGGATCAACTCACAAAGATAGTCGTGATGGCTTCATTGTATGCATTGATGATATCGACCAAGCGGTCCGGAAATGCTTGCGCAGCAGCTTCCCGCACCTTTAGGGTTCCAGCATTCAGAAGTATCTCAATCTGCTTATTATCCAACGATGCTTGAACTTGTAGCTGCTTCTTCAGCTCGTTCTGGAAGATAGCGCCTCCTATGCTTTGCATTACTGCACTTCCAAAGTATTGCGTGAAGAGGACAGTCGCTATTCCAACTGGAATGTACCGCGGTATGTCCTTCAATACAAGCTGAACTGTAAGCAAGGGAATCTGGGCTGCAAATCCACATCCCAGGCCCTGAAAGATCTGATAACCAATCCAAGATGCAGATGATGAGGATGCAGTGAGTGTCGTATATAGACCGTTGGCGATGCAGAGAAAGACAGAGCCCACCAGGAGCCACGGATTGTAATATCTGAGGTGCTTGGCTATAGTTATAAAGCGTCAGTAGAATGTACATAGACGAAGTAAATTATTCTGTGTTTACCTGAGATCCCGCAGACAAGAGAACCAAAAACCTGAGTGCATACCGAAGGTAGAAGCATGACTCCGCTGCGGATAGGGCTTGCTGACTTGACGATCTGAAACCATTCGGGTAGATAGTAGACCGGAATGACGAATGAACCCAGAAACAAAAAGGCAAATGCAAGACTAAGCATTGTGGACCTGCCCCACAGAAGTACAATGGGGACCATAGCCTTATCGCCCATGTAGCACTCCCAGCAGATGAAGATTGTCATCGTCACGGCAAAGCCGACAAAAAGTCCGACCACGGTCGCCGAGTTCCAGGAATATTCATCACCGCCCCACTGCAACGCCAACATCACCATTATGACGGAGGGTATGAAGAGAGCGCATCCGATTAAATCAAGTTGTTTCAAGAAGGGCACACCTTGTGTCCCAGTGGTTTGAGGAGGATGGAAAAACAAAAGCAACGTCACGACAGTCACTGCTCCTGCTGGAAGGTTGATGAGAAAACACCACCTCCAGGTATGCTCAGCTAGAGCGCCTCCGATGATTGGAGCGACAGCAGTCCCCAAAGCATAGAGAGATGTCACCAGCCCAGTAAACAGGGGGCGCTGTTCCGGAGTAGTTATCAACGCAATGACAGAGAGTCCACCCGATACTATCCCAGACCCTCCAGCACCAGAAACTGCTCTTCCAATTATGAACATCTTGGAACTGCTTGCCACCCCGCATATCAGAGATCCTAGAAGGAATATGCCATAAAAAGAAAGGTATGTCCATCGCAATGACAGCAACGAAGAGAGCTTGCCACTGATAGGTTGAAGAGCGCACATCGTGAGAGGATATGTAGCTCCATACCAGCCGATGTCTGTCGTAGCATGGAATTGAGTCGATATCGAGGGGATGGCCTTGAAAGATGATATTAGCCACGCGAAGAATAATAATGAAAGCAGCAAGTTTCAGTGAGCTTACAGTAGCAATGATAGAAACATCCAATGATATCAGGAACGTGGCTATCATGATACCGGCCAAAATGCTGTACAGCTTCACAGAACCAACGGCCTGTGTCCTGGACATTATGTCAGGTGAATTTGAAGACATCAATAATAAGTCTGATCATGAGCAAAGCGATAGATTTGGTGGTCATGGCAGTCAACTTTTATGCTAACCCTATTTCCTGACAGTTACTGAATTGGGTAGTCTACTGTTAGGGTAGGCCGGCGCCGGTTCCGGCCCCGTGACCGACTCGAGGCCGACTCCGATCCACGCCGTGATTGTGTGTCTCCGACACTCTACTTTAGTCATCCACCACCCCAGACCAAAGTATTTCTCAACGCAGAGTGCAATGCATCCAAAAACCCCGTCAAGGCGGCATGCGTGTATACGATGTATTCAATTGAAAGCGAAATGCGTCTTGATTGACAATGGACGGTGTCAGCGATGTGCGAGACTTGATCGCCACTGTACCTTCCCAGACGGCTCGCTCAGGAATACAAGCATCAGGTTCGCCCATGACTACTTACCTTATGCCGGTGCAGGCTGTTGGGTAACATTGTACACCTGTCTCCAGAAATAGCCGCATTGATACCATTCAGCACCAGGTCGACAGACTTGCTGCTCAAGTGCACGCTGATAAGGTATCTACTCCGACCTGATCCGGGCCCTTGCCCCCCGGATTAATATACATTGACTTTTCTTCAATAGGGCTCGGGAATGAATTTGACACCCGTATCAGAAACGCAAACCTGTTCTGTAAGCCCCAAGCCCAAATGGCGCAACGACTTCATTGATAGGGAACTTCTCAATATTGCGGAAGGTGAAGAGCTCCTCCTGAAATTCAGCACCGACTTGATGCCTCTGTTCCCATTCGTCCTTATACATGAAGTAAACTTTGGTGAATTGCGTGAGAAGTCTCCCTTTCTCCTATTATGCATAATGACGGCTTGTCTCGAGCACAAGCCCGCTCTTCAGCAGAAGTTCGAATTGGAAGTTCGATCTGTGATATCTACCCGTATAATGATGAATATGGAGAGGGACATGGACATACTTCGTGGCTTGTTGGTTCATATTGCATGGTCTCATTATCATTGGCGCAACTACCATACCCAGGTGTATATGCTTCTTCAGATGGCTATGGCTATCGTTGTTGACTTGGGGCTTGACAGATACGACAATTTCAGAATGCGACACATTTATGACCATGGGGAAGACATGGATGGTTCCCAGGGGGGCCAAGTACTCTATCTGACCCCTGACGGGCAGCGCGCATTTTTAGGTTGCTATTATCTATGTTCTAAGTGAGACTTTCGCAATCGGTACGGGATTGTCCACTAACGCAACAAGGGCCTCAATATTCCGGCGACAGCTTAACATGAAGCATACGGACTGGGTCAATTATTGTGCCGAACGCTTAGGGCAGAGAGCAGAGTATCCCAGTGACCAGTACATCAAAGCACTGATTGATATCCAATTACTTGCTCGAAAAGCAGAGCTAGAGGTCGATGACCCTATTCACGCAATAAATAAGGACCAACTATTCCGGTCTATTGACGTACTTGAGAATCAAATAGAGCAGCTTTTCGCACAGAACAAAAACTATAATACCTGTGTGTTTACCTGACACTGTTCAGCTTATTCATTTACTTACTTCAATAGGGGCGCTGCGATTGGAGCTCAATGCAATTCCGGCAATTGTTCTCGGACATGCACTTAGTCAAAGAGATAGCCATCACCAGCATAATCAACATCGGCTCCTCCGTATTGCGCGTTCCGCATTCAATATTGTGACAGCATTCCTCGCAACGCCAGCCTCGGTAACACCTAATCTCCCTATGTTCAGCTACACCTCTATCTGGTACGGCCTCCTTGTTCTATCGAAGTTGAGCTTGCTTTCGGCTGCCGCAACAGAAGACAAGTCACTCGAAGTTCATAGCAGAGATATCCACAATCTCGGTCTTGCAGCCATGCAGAAGATGGAGACAATGTCACGAGGCAACGATGTTTGGGATAATTGCCGTGCAGTGACCGGGTCCATGCTCTCATGGCTAGAAAAAAGTCGCACAAAGTCTCAAGGAATACAACTTCCTAGAGAAACATCAAGAAAAGAGGAAGTTGAGAACCCCGATCCATTGCCGGGGCCAGTACCTGAAGATTCTCCTCTAGTCACAGAGCCCGCTGTGATCGAAGATTGGGATGCTATAGTATGGCACCAGATGTTACAAGATCTGACATGGATAGGAGGAATCCCAGTGGAGCAGCAATCAGCTGTACATTCATTTCAGGGGCCTGAATTCTAAAAGCCCTTCGACTGAATGATATATTATGATCGACTGAAAGGGAAGGGTGCATGCCTGAGTAGGAGTAGTAGTTGGAGAAGTATGCCACCACCGTCCAACATGGCAAACCACTATTTATAAAGTAGCCTCTAGCACTGGAAGACTGTGCGCATTATATGACTGGTGCCCGGACAGCTTAAAGTCACTTTTATGTTTTCACTTGCCCCATACCGCAGTCTCCATCACAGCCAACTATCAGTCATAATCACTGTTGTGACGTTCTGTTAGGAGGCTCGGGTGGTTTGAGAAGGCTGAGTGTGAAAGCCTAGAGCTACTATTAGTTCAAAAGCCGTGGAAAATCATGACGAGAGGGACTTGGTTAATCTGGAGATAAAGGACTATCTACCTTGAATGGACTCGTCACTACTGAGATATCGGGAGTGGCAGCCTGTGTATCCGGTAAATTCTGTCCTCAATGAGTAAATCCTCCTCAAACGTTGCTTGCCGACTTTCTACAGCGGGCCAGTTCCTTTCTGCATGGCTGCGGGACAGATATCAGATCATGTGGGGGTCATGTGAGGAGGTATGGGAAGCCCCAGCCTCGTATGCAGTTATCGTTTATTGCTTGTCACCAAAGGGGTTGCCGACACCATAGAATTTCGATGTCCTTTGCACCACCAGAACCAGCAGCCATGACAGCTATCAGCCTTCATGAGGTCATCTTTGTGGATCAGATCAGGAAGTCACCGGTATCTTGTATTTTCCGCACGACATGGCGCGGGAAAGATTGCGTCTTGAAAGTGGTAAGCGTCATGAAGCAGTCGGCCTAGTATCCTTGCCACGGCCATTGACCCTTTGATTACACGTAGTATCACTCTCCACAGCCATTACCTGTCGGGCGTCGAACCCGCCCACGAATTCGCGAGACCAATCCATTCAAGTGCGAGAGCACAGCCTTTCTGCGACTGCGAGAACATGGTTTCTGTGACCGAGGAGATATCCCAGATTTCTATGGTCTAATCGAACACATAAACCCAGTTCAACATCTACCACATCTTCAAGACTTCATCGAGGATACCTTGTCTGTGAACGCAGTTTTAATGGAGTATATACCAGATGTTCACCCAATTGATCTATCGAATTACTCCCCAAAACGGCTCCATAAGCTCCGGCAGATACTGCTTGAGATGCACCGTGCTGGTGTTTACCATGGAGATCCGTATCCTCGTAATATGATGGTTCAGATAAGCTTTGATAGAGTGTTATGAATGGATTTTGGTCGCGCGCAAACATTCATGTCCGAGTCGATTAAACAATCTCACCTGGATTGGTTGGAACGTGAACAAAGAATGATGGATGAGTTTGTTGATGGCCTTGTTAGTCTCCGATGCGTAACCCTTCTCCTTTAAAAACCTAACCCAACGACGGAGTAGACAGCCGATGCTAAGCTTGGGAGGATTCATGAGACCTGGATTTGCTACTATGAGTATGTAAGTCGATACCTCGCTAGTATATCCAACGGACTAATATACCGCAACAGAAGCTTCAGACCCCTTCGAGATGAAGACAAGAAATTATCGCAAGACAATATATAAGGGGGCAATAGTGACTGCACGGGCTAGAAGGCTCGAAGTTACTGCTTGAACAAGTTTATTCTTTGGTGGAGGTGTAATCACCATTGGTTCCCCAGGAATCAACTATGAGAGGTATACCTTCGGAAGGGAGGAACATTAAACCGACAAGGCAGAATCTTGATTAGGTAAGTGATTTTCCAGGCTCCCCACTTCTGAGTCTAACCCATTAGAGTTATTTGATTCCATAGTTCATTGGGAATTGAAAGACAACAATTGACTTTCCCCTATTGCAATGCCTTATTGAATATGTCCTATGGCCCTTTGAAGTGATACCAAAGCATACTATCTACTGTCATGGCAGCGATACACGGTCACTGAATGCCCAGGAGCTGAATGAATCCACTCTCGCGAAGTACTTACCCTTTATATACTAGGTTGATCCTAGGTATACTAAGTCAAAGATCAACCTGCTAGGCGAACAATTACCTTGTTGCTTACTTCTATCTCTGCTTCCGCTCTGATGGCTGACATTGGTCCGTCATGATAAACTCTGGGTTGAGCTGCCGAATACGAGGTCGGCTGACCCCCACTTCTTCTCCCACGCAGGCATCAACAACTATCTCGTCATCATCATCATCATCACCACCATAGTCTGCGCGCCTCCCTACCATCTTGCCCTGCATCTCCACAACCACAGTCCGCAACTGACGGCAGTCCACCAGAATGCTTCGCAAGAAAGAAGTCTACACCAACACTATCTCCCTTCCCTCCAACATCCCCCGACAACTAGCCATCGACATTCTCCACAACCACGGCGAGATCATCTCCCTCAACCCCCTCGTCATATCCCACCACCCCATCAAAGCACCGCGCAACGCCCCAGCAGACGAGTACTACTCAACATGGTACGAGATTACCGAGCGAGTGCGCTACGTCCCCGGAACAATCAGCTTTAAAGGCTGCTTCCACGACGAGCCATGGGGGCTCAAAACCCACACCTACGCGCCCATGGGAGTCGATCTGCGCAACACGTATCGCATTTTAGAGAACCCAATCAACGACCCGTCGCCTGCCTTTACAGTTACACAATCCGCGGGGAATAACAATGGAGGACTGTGTCTGCGCGAAGACGTCGAGATCGAATGCAACATAACACTGATTTCGTTCGTGAAGAGCCAGCTGCGCGCTGCATCCAAGATATTAGTGGATCGCCTGATCAAGAAAGCCGAACTTCTCGACGCAGGTGTCTTGCATGGTATCATGGAAGACGGGGTGCTCAGGACGTATAACCCAGCGGACCGAACACATACTGCCGTTATGATGCAGCCGGATGAACGGTCCCGACGATCATCATACCAGGTGCCCATGTCCCCGAGTGAGTATTCACGGTCGGAGTCAATGACTTCGCAGACGCCCTATGCCTTTGCGCAGCAGTATCGGCAGGATCCTAAGCAAGGATTTACGGCAGAATTACCAGCTGATACGTACTATCCCATGCCGGGACCGGGGAAATATAAAGTACCGCCAGATGGAGGATACCCGGCTGAACTGCCAGCAATGAACGAGAGGCCTGGAGGGTAGTGCCCTTCAATATAATCTTATGGAGACACTCGCGTCTCAAATTATATATCGTGGAACTATTCTGGATGAACATTTAAGCATATTCTACAATGATACCCACTGTCCTTCGATCAGATTTGCGACGCCACATCTCTTGTGTGCCTGAGCTTTACATACAGTCCCCCAGAACCAACCGCTGGCAGACCCAGCATTAGCCCCGACCCATACTGGGTACACTTGACAGAGACCTGTCAACCGACAACTCATAGCCCGCGTCGTACTCCATCTTCTCACACAGTAAGATTCTTTACACCGATAAAAGTGACTATTTACCATGCGTGCATGTCAAGAGATAAAACCGCCTGATTGTGATAGAACTCCAAAAGAAAGCACTAGTATTGTTTTTATGATCCGCGGTTATTATCCGGCATATGGAGACATGGGCTTATTGGCGATGAATGCTGCAGTGGGATATCCCGAATGACTTGTGGGATAGGAGAGATGGTCATCACCTGCATATGTGCATGGATTTATGTATACGGGGAGTCTTGTCATATGAGCTTCGGATTGTGGGAAGAATTTTATATATTAGCACATACGGACAATGTAATTACTTATTCCCCTCCTCCTTTTCCGCTAGGTTTCGAGGGAAAGTGTATGTATGATGTATTAAGCACCCTGCAGCCTACGATGAGCTGTATGTCTTCCCAACTAGCCAGCTTGTTCATTGGGATCTGACCCTACCTACCTTCGAGAAGGCGTAGTTGATAACTGCGACATCATAGACTGTCATAATGGTTACTGGGTCATTAAAGCTATGAGATCATTCCTACAACAAAGTGTCCAAATATTATCGATATCATCTAACATGTTTCCATCAAGATAATATGTCACACTAAACTGTACGTCAAGCAATGATTCACTTCTCGTCCCTATCCTACCACCTATCATCGTGATTCTTAGATCCAGATGCTGTGCTACTGCCGACAGACCCAGGAGGATCTTCTAAAATAAGATCATTCGCGTCACTGCCAGCATGATTGTCCAGCCCTTGGCTCGACCACTCGTTAACGTCAGAAGGCGAAGTCGGCCAGGTTTTCTGGAATTCTGGCTCATCGCTGTCCCATAATTGGAACTTGTGAACATGCGCGTCAGGTCCAGGGACCGGCCGATCGCCCAAGTAAATGTCTATCCGACCGTAGCACTTTCGACAGACCAGGAAGTTCTGGCAAATGGAACAGTCGTAAGCGATTCCATAGATACACTTGAGTCGGAGAGGGAGTGACGAACAGGTTAGTATACCCACTGGCCCAGAAACAAGCATGGTGCAAATAATGTAGAAGGTTACTCACCGTGAAGCAAATTCCACAGAAATATCCATGAGGTCGATTATATACTTTACTAGATAGGTCCTGACTGTCTGAAATACTACTGCCTAAAGCCTCTTGGAGAAGCTCGATGATTGCATCACCGGCGTCATGGAGACGGGCTAGCTGGAGGGGCGTATACAAGTCATGCTCACTGCCCAGGCGGCAGCGTACCGACGGATTCGCGCCGTTGTCCAGCAGAAATCGAACGGTTTCTGCATAGTTGGCATACTCGGAGGGCATGTTAGGGTCCCAAAACAACTCTGTGGGCCGAAGTGCCCAGCAGAGCGGAGTCCAACCATCAATGTCGGCTTCATTCAAGTATCGTTGCCGGTCTGCTGGGAGGCTCACATAGTTCAGAATTGCCTCAACGGTTTGGGCGCGACCAAACTGAGCTGCCCAGTGAAGGGGAATTTTCTTGGCTTTATCTGGCGCCATAAGAAGCCTAGGAGCGGCGTGGTGTACGGTCTCGAAATTTTCCAGCCCGTTGGCAGCAGCAAAATGAATTGCCAGACGGCCCAGTGGGTCTCGAAGCTGGAGGGAAGCGCCTTTGTAGAGCAAATATTTGATGATACTCCTACCTGTACCAAGACACGCAGCTGAAAGCGGATTATAGACAATAAAGCCGTGCTCCGCCGAGATGTCAGCCCCCTGCTGGACCAGTTCGCGGACAAGGTGTTCCTGTCGGTCCAGGCTCTCTTGGCGATTCATTTTTCCAGAGGGTCGGGGGTTGCAGATGGAAATCAATGGGGTAGAATTAGGCCCTGTTATTCGCTGGTTGACATCTGCTCCACGGGATATCAATTTATAAACCGTGTCGAGTTGCAGATGTTGGCAGGCAATGTGAATCGCGGCTCCCCACCCCTCTGTGACGCTATGTATATCCAGGTCTGGCTGGGATAAAAGCATATTGATGAGCTCTGGTGGTCGCTCTAAGACCAAAGCATACAGAAAAACCGTCCATCCTTTATGAGATGCCAAGTTGATGTTAGCACCGGCCCGAATGAGTGTGACAACACATTCAAGTTCATTGCATCGGACAGCGGCCGCAAGAGCAGTGTCCTTCTCATTATCTTGTGCATCGATATTCAGCACATTGCGATATTCAAGCAATATCTTGAGAATGTCTAGTTGCCCTTTAATTGCAGCCTGGTGCAAAGGAGTCTGTTCCCCTGGGGTTGTGTCTGTCGATCTAGCCCCAGATTCCAATAAGATGCGGACAGCCTCTTCATTGGGAGTCGTTCCGCAAGCATCAAGAAGGGGACTCCACCCCGCGTCGTCCCGGTGGTGGACGTTCACACCTCGCCTGATGAGCACACGAATAGAATCCACTTGGCCTTGGCTGGCGGCCTTGTTGATCGCGGTCGAACCGTCGCTGCTTTCCAGTTCCGGATCAGCTCCCGCGTCCAAGAGGAGCTGCAGAATGGCAACTTCCTCGATGGCGAGTTCAAGCATTGTAGTGCCCTCCGTGTTCTTCTCTATAAGTGGGGAGCCCTGTTCGAGTAGAAGTTGCACGACTGAGTTGTGATGCCATTCAACGGCATGAAACAGTGCATTCTGCTTTTTCTCATCAACCATGGCAATGTTTGCCCCATGCGACAAAAGCCACCTGACAAGATTACAATCCCCGGATGCTGCAGCATACATCAGAGGTGTCATAGCACGGTACCAGCAGTTGTCGACGGCGTTGACATCGACCGGGTTAGAGTGGTTAACTAGAACATCCAAAATCTCAAGCTTGGCATTTAGTTGCGTTGTCTTCTGGGACAGGAGCACTGGAAAGACAGGTTGGTGGAGCTCGTGGTTGGGATTCGCACCGTGGCCAAGGAGCAAGCGGACACATTCTGGATCTCCTGACTCGCAAACAGCCAGTGACAGAGCCGTGATATTGACACCCGGGCCCCTCAGATTAGGATCAGCCTCATTGTCTAAGAGTATTCGAATAGTTCTGGGATAGCCATATAAGGCAGCAATACATAGAGGTTGCCACCCTCGCTCAGCATTGTTGCCGTCAAATGGGAGGTCGACACTGGCACCGAGCTGTACCAGAGTTTCTACTGTCTTCCACAAACCTCGGGAACATGCCGCGTAGAGGGGTGTGTATGGTTGGGGCGCATCCAAGAGTGTGTGTTGGACAGCCGCGATCGCCCGAATGGTATCATCAGCTCCTTCTGCAGCTGCCTTGAACATGATGCCAACATAACCATCCATAAGAATATCAATGTTAGCGCCTCCTTTCAGTAAGGTCTGTACGATCTGGCAATGGCCGAGACTGCATGCTAGGTACAGCGGGGAAGGATAGAAGATGTCAGGATCCGGGGAAGGATTGGGGTCCATCCCATACTTCAGAAGGGTATCCACCACGCGTGCCATGTCCAGAAAAACTGCTCTCCATAATAGCGAAACTGACAAGGAACCATGGGACTGGTTCAGGTAGTAAAGAACAGCATCTTCATCCCCTACCCGCATGGCCTCAGAGAGCCCTGCTACCCTGATAGGCAGTTCATGTCCACTTTGACTTAAGGATTCATGGAGCCCAAAGCTTTGGAGCCCCAGTGTGAGAAGGGACACGCCTGCAGGGTCCAGATCGGACAATTTCGGCCGAGAATAAGGGTTTTGCATCGCCCAATAAACCTTCATCCAGGCGCTCAACGGCCCATTGCGTTCTAGGAGGACCGGTGCAATTTCTTGAAGTACTAGTGGGGCCTTGGATAAGTGATATGGGAAAGATTCAGTCGCATAATAGATTATATCCTGACCATCTGACACCAGTGGTGGAGTGATATGCTCCTTGGAAGAGTAGACCCTCTCCTGATATCCATGGTAGATGCTCAAGAGTTGCCTCTGGATCCTCGCCGAGGTCAGAAAGCGATATAAGAACCAGCAGGTCTGTTGAGGCCCATTCGACCGGATCTCTGTCCAAGGGCTATCGCCATCGCGTGCGAAGACTTCCAAGATCTCTTGACGAATGCAGACTTGGTTCTGATGGGGTTCCAGCAGTCCCTTCATCCAGTAGGCCATATCTGGCTGGTCTATACTGGATTCAATATTCACGAGTAGCTGTTCAACCCCTGGGTCTAACTGATAGCGACAAAACATTGCCATTTCCTGGTATGACAGTGGTCGGTATCCACACAAGCTCCAGGTGAGAGTTGAGCGAATCCAAGACCTGTCTGGCAAGGTGCATAATATGTCTTCGAGAACAGACTGAGTCGTGCTGTGTACAGATAGACGGCTGAAGAACTGATCAAATCGCAGATGTGTCTGTGAAGATGTGACTTCGGGCCATCCCGTATGAGACGAGATGATATCCATGATCGCACTCAGAACAGCACAATTCATTGAGGCAAGCTCTTTCAAACGGGCTTGCATGTAAGCCTTTCTGTGTTCACAGGGACAGAAACGCGATATAAGCATCTCCCTGGGACAGTTACCCAGTTCGCAGTCATGCGGCTTGCCCACTCCTACCCTGTAACAGTGTAGGGTCATGTTAGGGGCACTGAGTTGGAGCTCTTCCTTTAAGGCGTCGGGCCTCCTTGATGTTATGAGAAGCTTCGGGCGCATGTCTGTAAACTTATAGGCTTTCGCAATGGCCTTCCAGTACACCTTTCGACTTTCGGCGGTATTACAGTCATCAGCATTTTGTAGACACAACATTGTACTTTCTATGTGATCTCGCAGCATTAGGCACAAAATATTCTGCAGATCCTTGTCGGTCCACCCGTGCTGCAGCAAACCCTGGTTTTCCAAGAGCCAGGTAGTGAAGTTGGGCACGCCTTCAGCGAGGCGTGAGAAGCTGTAGACCAAAAGGGTACTAACTATGGCGTCCATCGAGTTACGCGCTCGATCATAGCGGGAGAAAGAGAATGGGTGTACTTCAGTGTCATAAAGGTTCTTGTCAAACCGCTCCCGTTGCCATGCCAGAATAACCTGCTCAGCTGCCTCGGTAGTCAACCGTTGATTTTCACCATGAATATACAATATCTGGGGGCCTCTGGATGTCTTCCACAATCTATACTCCGAGCTTCTAAAAACTGGATGTGAGTCTATGACGCGTGTTGACAGGAACTGACGGTGCGGAAGGGCCATTGATAGTAGGGTTCGTTCAATGGCGGTGCGCGATGACGATCGATTCCAGCTGCATGATCCATTGAAGACCATGTCAGACAGCCTAGAGGTGAGCGGGCTATGCGCTTCGCCGGTGGGTTCTTCGGGTAGAGCCAACTCAGTACATATACCTAGAACCGCGGTGGATTCATCAAATGCCTAGAGTCAATCCTCAAGTCAGAACCAATGTATCTCACATAGACCTGTGTATAATGCTGATTGATCACTCACTGAATCAATCTTTCCCGGTGTCTCCGGATTGGCATAGATGCTAATTATCCGAGTGCGCAAGGTGATGCGGGAGCTGAGAAACAGACCGGTTGATTCCATGGCGGTCTCTGCCAACGCCCTGATTGCAGTTGGACTGATGAGATGACCCCATTCTTCTGTTTTATGTATCTCTAGAAACTTCCATATCCGGGCATCGAATGAGGGGGCATCCGTCCTGCGGTGGAAACAGCCTGCGAAAATCTGTCACCATGTCAAAATAAGTCCTGGTGCTCGCGATCCTTCCAACGCGTCCATATTCAACTCACAAATCTCACAGTATCGGTGAATATACTAGTCCAGCTAGTTTGATGGAAACCAGCAATCGCAATAGCCTGTACATCACTTGTATCAGAAACATATCCTGCTGCCAGCGGACTGTTAAGTGTGCTTCAGAGGAGAACGAACTCTTTCCACAACCAAGGCCCCCAGCTCATAAGCAATGAAGATAATAGATCGACTGTAACTAGCCTGCCTCATGTAATGTCAGTACTTGTTGCCCTTCTGTAAGTCTGATATGCTGAGAACACCTACCCCTTCGCCCGACCGTCGAAATTGAAGTAACCCAGCTAACAGTTGGAGTGCCTCTTTCTCAACATAGTGGCCAGTCAGATCTCCAAAGAGAAAATGACTCGCATTGCTTCGATATACGAATTCTCGTCGTTCGGTGTGAGAGGCGAAGTGATCACCGAAGACAGCTTCCAAGCTCATGCATTCCGGTCGCGAGATTCCCATTACATGCACGATACTGTTGAGTTTGCATCTTAGTAGGTAGGGCCTATATTGCTGAAGGGTATTGTTCTTACTCCACATATTCCGATGAAGTGTCATCCTCGCTGGCCGCGTCAGGTGCAAATGTTGTCAATTGCCGCGAAAGTTCGAGGCCGTGGAAGGCTTGCCCTATCCTGAAAGCAACAGGGCGTTTCGAGGACTCTCGCGTCATCCTTTAAGGCGCATATGAATAATGAATTTCTTGATTGGAGAAGAAAGAAGGATAGCAAGCAACTTATATATGTGTTACCTCTTAGTCATTCATGGACGGCATTTTGAACGTTAAATGGGAAGTCGCGTCCGTGTAACCCTTTCTTCCCGGACCAAATTAGCCTAAGATTACTAGAGGTGGAAAGGTAACCCAGAGTTATTACCAGGTTAGTCCCGCATACTATTCCAATAATGTAACACGGGAAGGGATGCCCAACAGGAGGCATGATATCCAATTGGCGGGGACGCTTGACAAGAGGGACATGTGCCTCGCGAGCTAATCAAACACTGTAGGCATTTGCTCCATTAGGGTATCACTCACATGGTGTTGCCTTGGAACACAACAGGGGTCAATCATAGGCGTGTGGTAGTCATAAGGAGGATCTCCCCTACGTGTCCTCCCTCGGAGGCTTCTAGCAATTCAACATTAAATAAACCTATCGTTTTAGTACGCCACACACGAAGAGGTACCGAAAGACAATGAGTTTTGGCTTTGATGACGAGCTCTGGCTGAGCGACCAGACTGAAGAGGAGGAATGCGGGCTTACAGATCCACGTTCATTCTCCTTGGAATTGACGTACCAAGGACCTGCTGGTGGTAAGTCAATTTCTGACAATTGAAAATCCTACTGTCTCTTCAAATTGGTGACTTCCTTGTTCCATTTTGATTTCACTCCTGATGTGACTGACATCTCTGTAACACGGACGGACGGGAATAGACTTCCGGACTCGCAACAAACCAGGCCAGCTACAGAGACCCATGGTGTCCAATTTTGAGATGGGGCGACGACGCAAATCTGCCTACCAGGTCAGCTGTCAAGCAAAGGCTATGATCCATGGCCGGTGGGGAGGGGGAGGCCAAGACTCGTGCGACTGGGCCACTCTGTTGGTGTATGAGTTCCAGTTCCATTCCTACCGTGGGTGCCGACTCAAGGCAGCCGACATTCGCTTCCGATTCGAGCCGATACCAGGTCAATCAAATGAACTGTCTGTCGCTGGGATTCAGCCGGATCGTGTGTTCAAAGTTGCACGCACCGAGCAATCCGAGCAATGCACAACCGGCCTCGAGCTTACGCTTGGGTTCCAGCCACTGGCAGGAGCTGGGAACACTTCAATCGCTGTATCCAATTCGGACAATGTAGAGAAGGTCACAGTTCATCACACGGTTGTCACTGGTGACCGACCTGCAGATATCTACGGCAGTCAGCATGAGGCACATTTTTCGCTGTCAGAGAACGTATCACAGCAGGACGGGATTCCTACGCGACTGAGAGCCTGTATTCTTTTGAAGCGGGGAACGGAGGATGACTTTGCTTGTGTTCCCTACATCCATGTCACTCCAGACTTCAAGACTTGGGTTGGACAGGTGTTCTCGTCTCGGGACAGGGATGATCCTATCCGATTCCGTCCCTCTGAGCCGGTCTTCGATCAGCTGGAAAAGGGGATTGTAGTTGACGCGGAAAATCTGGGAGCCACCAATCTAGATCGGCTGTGGGGTTGTACCATGTACACAACATGCAACGATGTTGTGGAGTCACTGTAGAGGAAGGCTGGACGTAAAGAGAATGCCGTACCCTCAGTTCCCAGACCTAATGAAGATAAAAATTGTTGACTTTCAAGGTGAGCGTGGCCTGCATGGTGCTATGATGCTACTTTCCGCAAAGTCAACTAAATGTATGGGAACCTAGATCATTTTCTCCTAATGGTACTTGTCATGGTCCCTGCCTCAATATCACATAGTGTCTCTCCTAGTTCCCCGGCTATGGACTCCTTTGAGCTGGACGCTAGATCTGACGACGCCCCGTACAGTGAGGCCGAGTACGAGTGGGAAAGGTTGTCATGGGAGGAACGAATGAAAGATTTGACGGGACAGTTAACGAATGGTGGGACATGGGAAGGAATGCAGTCAACAGTGAGCGAGTTTCGCGATTATGAAAACAGAGATGTCCCAACCATACTTCATCACCTGTCGAAGGACAAGTTTGCACATGGATTCTACGACCTTCCTGAGTCTACGCGCGACTGCATCCTTGATTCTCTCCTTCGACTTCATCTGGAAGAGCAAAGCGCAACTCCAGACCACGTCCAGGCCAATACAATAGGGAAGGATAAGCACCCTTATCCCATTCTCACTATTGCCCTCGAACATAGCATTACTGGATTCCTCAACACCATCGCGACCCGTTTTCAGCACCATTTGCCACACCTTCTCAAGATCTCCCATACAGGTGATGGTCGCAACCCACTACACGAGGCATTTTCAATATTTCTTCGGTGGCAGAAGAATGTAGGTCGGTTTAAGGACCACAGCTACAGGGAGGCAAAGAAAACAGAGTTGGGAATGCTCACGCTGATCATCCAAAAGTGGGTCGAGCTGGCCCCAGATTCGGCCATCGCGGCAAAAGACGTTCATGGAAATACTCCTCTGCATTATGCAATGCATTATAACCTATGCTACTACTTGAACTCGACAGTCTACCGACCAGTCGTCGTCGCTCTAATCGACAGGAGCCTCTGTCGCCGGATGCAGGCCGAGGACCAACTGAACGGAGTCGGCAAATCTCCTTACCTAATCTATCTCGAGAGTGAAGCCGACTCTGCTGAGAAGAAACGTACTTCATCGTCTTGGGAGCCTGATACAGTGAAAACGACTCCTGGGTCGAAGCCAAATCGGCGGGAACTCGGACTCGAAGGGAAGTGGGCGGAAGGAAAAAAGACGGGTGAAGAAACAAAAATCAGAAAGACGCAGGATGGTTTGTTCAAGCCGCCCCAGATGCCTTCACATTCAGAGCTTCCCACAGTCTACAAGGTCACAGTGCCGCCTCATTCGACACATTCTCGCACCCGACAAAACCCCCAGTGTTCCCAGGATAACAGCAAGGCTACAGGACCGGCGTCTACCCCACAGTTCCCATCAGCGATGCCGCGCTCAAGTGCGACCAAAGAGCTGACACCCAATCAAATACAGCAAGATGAATCTGACGACAAAATCAGAAGGCAGGCTGCAGATTCGATTCGGCAGTACCTCAGGATGTGGTACATACGAAACATGTCCGACGCAGATGCCAGGAATTTGCTCTATGGCAATATCGCCTCAGGTAGGTAGTAAACAGTCGAGAATATCGTTCTGAATACTTGAGTTAATGTTGCTGTTCGTTGCATTCTAGCCAAGAATTTGTACTTCGATGCCACACACCTGAGAGGACGCGGGGCAGCGCAGATTGTCCAATTAATTAGAAAACTAACCCGCGCTGGGGGTTTCGAAGACACTCTGTCCTACGTCAGAATCCCGCAAGTGTCAGAGCCAGACGGGCTCCCAGAAACTGCTACCATATCCAATACAGCCAGCGAGAAAGGAGGGATCCATAGTGCATCTGGTCCCAAGAAGGCCCTGATGGGGCGCATCTCACTAATATCCGTCTTCGACGAGCTGGCCCTTGCAGGTGTACGGCAAATTCTACGGCTCCAAGTCGAAGACAACGGCGATGTCATGGCCCATTCAGACGCAGCTATTGAAAGGGCTATTACTGGATCGGACCATCGTGGCGAGTCAACCTCCTTCGGTACTAGAATCGGGGCCTTGAATATAGAAACCTGGTAGTCCTCTCCCTCATCTGGGTCAACCTGGACATTTCCCGGGCTCACAATACATACTAGGGATTGGCGAAAGCCAGACATAAACATTGAACTGATTCACGATGCGGAACCCAACGTAAAGTCCATTCACCTGCACTGGAGCGGAGGTCAGACTGTTCTTCGTGGGTGGGCGGATGCAATCCTAGTGCTTTACACGGAATTCAAGGAACTAACTTGTGTCTATCTGCATGCATATCAGGTACTGGCCTTTGTCCTACGATATGAGTATGAGGACTAACTCCCAAATCTCCTTATCATAGGGATCTGAGACTAAAGAGCGAACAGACATCATGATGAAGATATTTAAAGAAAAGGTAGAAAACATAACAGAGAATAGAGTACAGGTGAAGAACGAATTCCATAAGGAAAGAGTGATAGACACACGAAAAGATGAAGAGACCTGTACTATCCCCAGCCCTGGCGACTCTACAAACGAGAAGCAGTATCTTTGGATAAATCGGCTGGAAGATTTTCGTGATGCGATGCTGGAGGTGCATAAAGTTTCTCCAAAAGTTGAAGCGGATTTACCGCGAATTAAAGTAGGATGCCTGGCTTTCTTATGTTACTACTTAACCTGTCCTAACTATGCCAACTCGTCAGGTTGCCCTTATCGACGATGGCCTAGATTACGGTGATTTCGACGTTTATCCACACACAGAAGTGCGAGGGTTTAGCTGCTATCCACGCACTGGGCAGACCGAACATCCATGGCACAAGTCGACCAACGGGCATGGAACTGCAATGGCCAATATGATCCTCCGCATAAATCCGTGGGTACATCTCTTGGTCATTCGAATCGAGGATGGTATCTCCTACGCGAATCCAGGATCGCCCTCGCGGACCATCCAACCCGACAGCGCTGCCCGAGCCGTCGAGGCGGCCATCAAGCACAACGTCGATGTAATTTCCATGTCGTGGACCATACGCAAGCAAATTTCACAACTGCACAGCTCGCCCGTTGATCCTGGATCATTGGGGAAGAAGTCAATCGATGAGGTCGGAATCGAGCGACTGGAAATGGCCATAAGGGAGGCGGCGGAAAACAATATTCTCATGGTGTGTTCTGCGGCGGACGACATAGAACTCCTCGGGAAGGACAATCTACCCTTCTGTGCAGCGGAGCACAACATCTTTCGCATCGGCTCCTGCGATTCTCAAGCGCAGCGTGACCCCATGACTGAAAACAGAACAACCATTTCCTATTTTCTCCCGGGTATTCAAGTCCAAGAAGCACAAAGACCACACTCCTTGAAACCACTTGTATATCATGACGGGTCTTCGATAGCCACTGCGCTGGCTGCTGGGTTAATATCTACTATCCTCCATTGTGCTCGTTGGGTGGACCAGTGTCAAGAAGCTCGAGAGCCCGCACAGAATGCCTCCAGTGAGAAAAATCCATTCCAGCAATTGGCAAAGAGCCTTCGTATACACAAGAACATGCAGATCGCATTGAGAAATATTGCCAGATCACATGGGTCAGAGGAGCCAGAGGATTCAAAACAGCTTCCTGTGTATCGTCTTTTTGCAGACACAACCAACAAGTTGAACAGTGCCAAGGGGTGGCAAAAAGTTGAGAGGTTGGGAGATTTAGTCAGGTACCTATGTCATGACATTGAGGCCTAGTGAATTACTTTCAGGGCTTGAACGCGGCCCGGCTCAGTCCAATCTGCCGCTTCAAGGGCTCGCCCAAAGTTCGCGTAATACGATTGCCTCAATACTTTCAAATAGTGAGTTATCGAAACACCATGAAATCAATATACCACGGTTTGCAACTTGCCCGCGACTGCCTGTCCGACCAACATATATATCACAGGTACACAATGATATGTATACCCTACATTTGCCTCAAAATTTCAAAGGCGTACCTAGCAGCCACTCTTCATTCTTCGCCAGCATCGTTAGACGCGCTCCATGCCTTATACCTATCATAGTCCAGCCACGACAGCGTAACATTCTGAACCTGATCCCCATCCATAGGCACAGCATTCAGTTCAACCGTTTCCGCCCCCGACGGAGCAGCCGCAGCATACCAAAAGGGTCCACCACCACCGAAGTCCAGGTATTGACCACCATCAGCCAGAATCATTGCCGGGAGAGCCTTCGAGATGAGAGAAATAGTGAGCTACATATCTCGAACATGTACGTCGTGGCAATACCTTGGGAAAGAAGGAGGAGTGTGGGATAACTCACGTCAACAGTGGCAGATGAACCCCAATCCGAGGCATCAGCTTCATCCTTCGCAGTCGTAATGACACGGTTCGAATTCACTTTGAGGTAGCCGTCAAACCCTTCCACGTATCCCTCCCCATCAGAATAGGGGATACCACATGCAGTGACCTGCCCGTTTGTCCATTTGCCGTCTTCGGCAAGGCAGCCGATGGCCTCTTGGTCGTTGTCTGCGGCATAGATCAGAAAGAAGCCGTTACCTTTTGGAAGGGGAATCCAATAGAGGGCTGTGGCGGTGTTGGCGAGGAGAGAGATGCCGGCGGCTAGAAAAGGGATCATTGAACGCATGATGTAGGTATTCTTCGTCCTCTTGCACCAGTAGCTAGCTTTCGTTGTGGTAGTATGAGTGTTTGGTTTCGGTATACTCAGAATCGAACTTGACATGGGTGGGTATTTATATTTGTGAAGACTTAGTGAATAGCATGCGGGTATGAGGCATTTCATGCGGTTGCCCGTGTGTCCGAATTCTTCGACGGGTTGTGATGTGGGGATACATTCATGCAGGCATTTGGAACGTCTGTGTAACATGTATTTGTACAGGTAGTTAGTGATCGCCCGGATCTATCCGGATAGTTCGCAGAATCGTCCTGCGCTGATTGCTCAACGTCCTTGGTATGAGAGGGAATTCGTCTGTTGTTACTCTTGTCACCATTCAAATCCCGAATTCTGCAATGCTATCACCCTGCTTAGCACCATCACAGTGCATGAACTATTAGCTCTACGATAACTAGCTCGGATACACGTTATTCAGCTCGGAGTAGATCTCGCTGGACTGAAGAGGGGAAGGCACCATCGTCTCCACATATTTTGCTTATTCTAGTATGGCGTGACAAATCTAGGAACGCCATGGTTGACTAGTATGTCCCTTACTACCATAGCTCATGATTTGTGTGTATATTATCACGCTACTGCTGAAGCCTGCATCAGACTGATTTTTGGGACATTAGGACCCCTCATCTTTCTCTGCAGGTATCTAGCAGCCTACATCTTTAATGCGCCTTTCACGAGACAGAGCACCATGCTGTCGAAAGAGCAAGTTCGAGCACCGCTCTAGTACCATATTGTCAAGCAGACTGGCATTTATCCTGACTCATTAGGTAGTTACAATCGGTTTGCTAGTGTAGAAATGGCCTCGATAAGCACTTTTTACTCTCCGTAGAGGTTCGACTGCGAATAAATAAATATAATCTCGGAGTTCGGGATTATATCTATATTACCGAATCAATTTAAGATTGCTCATTGAACAGTAGTAGGGAATTATGCTCACTTTATGTTGGAGAACATCGGGTTTTTCTGCAGAAAGATTCAAGTCTCCAGTCCAAAATACCAGGACTCTATCAGGAATTGGTTCAAAACCGGGTATCCTCGCGTCTTAAAGCAATGAAGACCGAATAGCCCATTGCCAGTTTCTATTTCGGAGTGTGATGGGCTCTGAATAACCGATAATAGTGGTAGGCCACTGCAACTAATGTATCACTCTTGAACCACGGTATACCACAGCCATCTTGGCTTGCTTAATATGAGCATCGACAGGCCATTCCGCACAGAAAATGCATAGCGAGGGGGACCAGGGTGATACTCTTACCAAGCCTCAGGAGCCTATTTGCATCACTCAGGTAATCAACTCTGTTGGGTTATCATCGAAACCTAGAAGATATAAAACACTACCGCAGGTCATATTGCCTGCTCAATCATTAACAGCTGATCATTCGACCAGAAGCAATTCTTGGTGACGTCAGTGATCAACAGGTCCAGCCGACATTAGAATGGTCACAAAGACCGGAGTCTTCCCGTCCACCCATTCACCATTATTGGTCTAATCGTAGGAGATTACTTTTCCCATTAGACTCCACATACTGCGCTAATGAAACTACATAGGTTATAAGACAAGCATATACGTACACGGTATCTTAATGCATCTCGATTTTTGATAAGGCTGACATTCTTGTTTTGTGGCATTATGCATTACTCATTTCGCACGCCAAATCGCAGGATGTGCGATTTATCTTTACAGCCATTGGCATAGCAGTCTGTAGTAGCTCTAAAAGTAACCCTAAAAGAGTCCACAATATAAGCCCAAAATACATTCCCCCATTGTAATTAGCCCCTTTATATCACGAGATTTCCGAAGTCAGAGAACACAGCATTCATTTTTATTGCAATTAGGAATCTCATCTTCATAGAGCCGTTCTAGATATTTATGCCTAATCTTAAACAGAAAGATTGGACGGTCCGTTCGCCGTAAGCTGCCTCATAAAGTCACTGCCTAGACAATCCGTCGCAGCACTAAATTAGCCTTTAACAGTTCGCCCGATCGGCCAGTCAGAAAATTGAATCCATCCTCTGATCCACTGTGGATCTGTACACAACAACAATCCTTCGGGAGATGCCCGATTGATTATCTAGCTTAATGAGTTCTCCTGGCCGGTGATTGCTCGATCATGCTCCGCTTTTGTGTGCATCAGTCCACAGTATGTTCCGTCGGGACACCGGCGTATTTAATGGGAGGTTAGGCAGCCTCATGCTTCCCTGTCTTTTTGCTCTAGCATAGTTGAGCGGGTATTCTAATTGTCGTCCGTAAATTCAAAGTGTCGAGCGAACTTAGCTTACGAGTACATATCATGTGAGTGAAAAGCTGTTTTCAGACATGCGAGACATACTTGGCAGCAATCGAAGGCCCTGCATGGTCTTGAACCTTGATAAGTAGCGGTCAGTTGTACCTGTGGACAAGCGGAAGTCGAAGATGAGTTGAGAATTTTATTATCTTTACCATACACAGAATCGGACGGAAAAAGGAAATCACTAGAAATTCCCCCACAATGAGGGAAACATCTACTTCTCTTCAGCTACGACTTCCTCTGGTCCAGTCGTCGCTTTCTCGGTAATCCTCTCCCACTTCACCCCAAAAGCTAAGAAGAAGGCCGCAGCTGTAGTCCCAACAGCGACATACTATAATCTCATCTGATTAGTTCCATTCCACAACAGTACCAGTGAAACAAAAAGCAACACTCACGAAGGTCGAAGTAATAGCCTGATTATAAGCCTCCAGAACCAAGTCCAGCAGATCCGGAAAATACTGCTTGACTGTATCACGCACATCCGCCATCCCAGCAGCAGACACCAATGCAATCTGATCAGCATTCAAACCAGCATGGTCTGCTAGTTCAGGAAGTAGAATCGAGCGAAACACAATCCCACCAAGTGATTGTGTGATAGTAGCCCCTAAGTACTGGAAGAAGAGATTCAATGAAATCGCGGCAGGCATAAACTCTGGTTTGTCGCGCACAGAGTGCTGGATAATGAGCGACGGCATTTGCTGTGCCATGCCGACACCGAGACCCTGAATAACTTGGAAGCCGATCCAGTGGCTGGACGGGGTATGGAAGGTCGAGAAGTGCGTGTATAGCGCCGCGGCTGTGCACATGAAGAGGGGGCCGATATACAGCCAGGGGTTGTAGTAGTGGATTTTGCGTGCTGTCAACGCTGTGTCAGATTGTGCTCCAGCTTGATACCGAGAATAAGTGGGGTTTGAGTATGTTGAACGCACCAAAGAAGCCAGCAGAAAGAGTTCCAACTATTTGAGCCAGCACCGAAGCCAATGTTCGCGTACCACTTTGCAACGGGCTCGCGCCTTCCACGACCTGGAACCACTCGGGGAGATAGTAGTTCAAGATACCAACAGACCCAAAGTGGAAGAAGGAGAACAACACACTGAAGGTGATTGTCCTTCTGGCGACGATATTCCCCGGTATCATTGCGTCCTCGCCCTTGTAGCCTTCCCAGGAAACGAAAATCATAAGCATGACACCAGAGCCTACAAACAGACCAATGGTTGTCGCTGAATCCCAAGACTCCTTCGTACCTCCCCACATCATAGCGAGCAACAACATGAAGATAGATGGGATAAAAATGGCACAACCGATGAGATCCAGATCAATAATCCGTTGGACGGCCGTCCGATCCCGTTGTATGGACGGGGGTCTGAAATAGCACAGCATTGTGAGCAGCGTTAGAGCCCCGGGGGGAAGGTTGACCCAAAAGCACCACCGCCATGTAGCGTACTGCGTAAATGCACCACCAATAACGGGTGCTAGGATAAGGCCCATGGCGAAGCAACTGCTGCATATGCCGAGGAGCACTGGTTTTGATTTTTCGGGAGACACAGTGAGGACGATAACGAAGCCGCCACTCGCGACCCCGGATGCCCCGATACCTGCAATGGCACGGCCCGCGATAAAGGTATTGCTGTTTGGTGCAAAGCCGCACACCAGGCTGCCGATGAGGAAGATGGAGAAGAATGATACATATATCCACCGAAGAGGGAACATTGAGCTGAGCTTTCCTGCTAACGGGGTCAATGCGCATGTTGTGAGCGAGTAGGCAGCTGGATACCAGGCTAATTGCGCGGTATCATGGAAATCCGCTGTGATAGAGGGAATGGCCTAGGCATGTTTAGATATTCTGATAGAGACAGGAGGGGAGTAGGAATAGTACAGTCGCAATGACAAAAATGTCTAGAGACATCAGAAACGCGCCAAAGCATATGCCTACAAAAATGGCAAAGAGCTTGAATCCGTGCATCGCATTCGGGTTTGTCTCTGGCACCTCATTGTTGACATCGGTACTGACCGCATGCTGGCCTTCGGTAGAAGTATTAGCATCCTGTCCTGAGTTGGCAGTTATGCCGGTCTCATCTATGGAGGATGCAGCCATGTTGGGAATATAAATATTGATTGTTAAACAAGGGGAGTAGAGGCTTCTTATAGTCGAAGAATGAGTCAAATTAATAGCTCACAGGAGGCTATTTCGGGCTCGTGATCGGGCTCGGGAGAGTGCTGGACCGGTGCGATTCCTGCGACACTTGAACGTCACCGGTTCCTACCGTACATCCCTGCTTAGCCGCATCCCAAACAGAACTATAAGTCTTAGTGTGGCTTTGCTGGCATTGTGAGAGCGATCTCTCCACTGGACAATGATAAGAATCAAAAGGGAGAGAATACACGGAGATATCAAGTCGTAATGCCCCCTTCTATCCTATTTGCCATTGACATTTATATAAGATTATCTCTGGATATGTCCAGACATTTAGGGCACATTTTTCGTCTTCGCGGAAGGTGATTGACGAGCCAGCCAATCAGCGCCAACTTTACGCTTCGCCAAGCTGAGCATCGCGGCTTCTTACCCCTGGTATGCATCAGTCCAATTTCTCCTAACTCCTATCAGCGAAGTCTTACGAAATTCATTTGGGTCGACCTTAGCCTTCTACTGGCAGGGAATGTCATGTACAT